CATTTTTCTTTTGCAGCTGATGGCCCCTGTTTCTACATAAAATCCCCATACTCTTCTTTAATTATATTTGTTTCTTCACTCATCAAAAATCAATGAAAACCATGCATATTCCACATGCCTGTAAAAGCAGCACAACATTGTCCCCTTCATATGTACAGGCTGGAATATAAACAGCAAACAATTCTGGAAGCCCACTGGCACTAAGGTAACCATGTCCACCACAAAGTTTCCTACATTCTTCAATGGCGTCCTGCAACCAAAATAAAATTCTTGTTAATCAAAAGATGCCAAAGAGATTTTTTTTTTTTTTTTTTTTTTTTTTTTTTTTTTTTTTTTTTTGGGTTGGGGGGCGAGGGGTGTTTGTAATTGTTATGGATGTCCAATTTGACAAAAGGTCAAAAACTATTATGGAAATTTGTGTTTTGGGGATAAATCGGTAGTGACTTACAGCAGTGGCAGAAGTAGTCAAAGACTTCAAACCCGCAGTACATGCATGAGCCTCAGGCAATGTTGAGAAATCATTGGCCTGCAACCTCTGGGTTACATCCGTATAAAGCCATTTCAACCATTCACCAACAAATCTAAAAGCATATGCAGAAGCCAGCAAAGGAAAGAGTCTACTTTGCTGAGTTTTGTAATCAATCACCTAAAAACAGAGTGGACAGTGAGAACATGAGACACATTTTATGAAAATGATTAAAATATTAATGTCCAATCAATCAATGGGGAAAAAAGCAACAAAACTGTCAAGATTATACTCCTAATATCAAAAAACTAAGCAAGCATTTCAACATCAGTTGTCATACAGAGTACAACTTACAGACACTTCAATATGTTGTGGTGCAAATGCATCTACTAGACCAGCAAGATCATGTTAGATATTTCATATGGGGCAAATTCTACAAGACTATAACTATAGCAGTATTCACGAATAGATAATATCCATAAAAATTTCCCTTACCATTGCAGGGAGTAAATAAATTGCAACAACATTTTGCTAAATTCAAGTAACACAGTAGAACACATCATATTATACTATTACTGGCAATGCAAATTCACCAAAAGCAAGATTGTTCACAGATCTCATTCAGAATTTTTCTCATAAATAAATAGAGTTCTACACGAACTATTACAGAGAGTTTGGTTTCAAAAACTACCTGGGTCTCAAGACCACCATCCTGGGAACCAAATTGTCTGCGGACAGCACTATACCTAGTGGCAATACAAACTGCCCTTGATAAAGCAGAGGAAGCATCAGCTACAATTGTTTGCCGCACATACACCATTGTGCCATAAATCAGCTGTCGTGGAACATAAGATTGGACACATTTTCCTTCCCTTGTAACCTGCATTACCCTGTAACATTTGTAGTGAAAAAGAAAACATGAGTCATGATAATACCACAGAATTTGGGTCAATAAAAGACCAGCACTCAAACTCCACATATTCTCCAAAATGTCAATATTACAATACAGTTAGAAAACCAATAATCTATTTGACTTCAATTCCTTAAATCGAGGCAATTCAAAATAATAAATTATAATGATAAAAAAGAACATATGAAACCTCAAACATTTTTGGGAAGGGAGGAAAAAAAAGGTGTTGAGAACCTACCGCATCAACATTTGATTCCTCGGGATGCGCACGTGATCAAATCTTAAAACACCATTGTCCATAGTATTATATGCCCCACTCCCAAATTTCATTCCAATATCACCAACTGTTATGCCTGGAAGAGGCATGTGATCATCCAAACTCCGAAGCTGGACAATAAAGCCTGAATTGAAACATTTTAGCGCATATACTTGGTGGAGCAATTACAATACATGCAATTTGGAACAATATGTGTCACTACTTACCATGCACTCCATGTTGTTCACCATCAGCTATAAGACGCGCGTAAACAACAGCATGTGTGGACACTTTACCCAATCCACCAGGCCACCACTACATAAAGAGGAAAAAGATATCAATAACAAGATTGAAATTTCAATGCGTTTGCTGTTTCATATTTCACAAACACTGTAGCTTTCATTCATGTGCACCAGCAACAAACTTAAAGAAAAATACGAGCATTATCCTGCGCAGAAGATTAAGATGGAAAACTGCTTATATTGTGATCATCTATACATCCCTTTGTCAACTTCCATAGATTTGAGAAATGGAGGGGGGCCAAGATCAATTCTGGGCAAATTTGCACCAGGTGAGTACAAGATTTAAGAGACAGCATCCCTCCCAGTCTTCAAGGGCTAACATGTAAAATCAATGAATCTATCTCATTAAACAATTTACTTACTTTGCTAGAAGTCAGTGTGGGACTATGAATGACAAATTCATCTGTCATAGGATCAAAGGTCGCAGTGGTTTCAAGTCCTTGAACATTGGAGCCATGGCCAAGTTCAGTTTGTGCATAGCAGCCAATTATTTGCATCTTATATGCCAAAGGTAGCCACTTCTGTTGCTGCTCTTCAGTACCCTGTCCTTTAATTGCTGGAATAAACATTCCCTACTCCACACCAGAGAGAGAGGAAGTATTAGATGGTATATTCATACCGACACTGAGGATCCTTTTCATAATGTATTCAGAGATAAACATGCAAAAGACTACCTTGACATTTTGATATAAAATTTTCACAACTAATATGACGATAATTCAAAAAAACGTAACCAACAAACAAAGGAATGAAACTTACCCAATGAAGATCCGTGTAAGCAGGTTCATCCACAAAAGACCTCATCTTACCTGCCTCTTCTTCTGTAATAAGAAAACTTGCGAGATTAGACAGTAACCGAAACGATCTTAATTATATACAGATGAACGCAATTGAAGACCCACCAGAAAGACGAAGCTCAATGATAAGTTTCCATGCATGAGCCGCTTTCCTCAGAGTGTTTTTAAACAATTCTTTCCTACTCAACATAACTCTGTTATCCTTTCGAAATGCCTACGATAAAGACATGAAAAAGAGACTAAATAAAAAAAAAAGATCAAGATATAAAGCATAAATTTTTGACGACAAAGATCAAAAGAATCAAGTCCAACCAATTAAAAAGTAAAAATTTATCATACTAATGTATTAATTTATTGGTAACTACTAAATTACGTCAGTTTTAATTCTTCCTGTTATTTTCACCTTCGAATCACATATCAAGGTCAACCAATTAAAAATCTAATATCATAACCACAAAATTAAATTATAAAGCTAAAAAGACACCCATAACAGTCGATAAATCAAAATCACCGGAGCTAGCAACAACCCAAGAAAATATCACACAGCGTATGAATCTAAACTAAGAATTATAGAAGAGGCCAAAAATTACAGGATCGCTGGCCACAAGACGAGCCATGCGATCGGAGACTTCGAAGGCATGGCGGGAACCAGCCCAGACGATCTTCATCTCGTCGACATCGAACTGAGTTTTGCTTCTCTCGTGAGCCAAGTGATCGACGCCCTCCATTTGGTCAAAGAAATTAAAATTCAGGTAATGAATAATCAGAGTTTTGGTTCTCAGAACAGAAGAGAAATGTAAGAAAAAATAGTCAGTTTTTTTTTTTTTTTTTTTTTTTTTTTTTTTTTTTTTTTTTTTTTTGAGGCGAAAAAAATAAGCGAATGGTTTCACCAAAAGATTGGCAAATACAATTAAAGAATATTCGGATAACTAGATGGATCGGGTTGTTCAATTCCCATGTATTTGTACATCGTGTTTCCAATGTATAATTTTTTATTTTTTTTTTTTTTTTTTTTTTTTTTTTTTTTTTGAGGGAAAAAAAATAGCGAAATGGTTTCACCAAAATTGGCAAATACAATTAAGAGATATTCGGATAACTAATGGATCGGGTTGTCAATTCCCATGATATTTGTAGATCGTGTTTCCCAATGTATAATTTTTTATATTTTTATTCAATAAGAGATGGCCACCGGCCACATCGACTAGTGGAATTTCAATTTACGCACGTTGCAAAATATAGACTTACCTTTTTTCTATTGTAAATTATAAATCATTTTTTAATTGTTAAATAAATCTCTATATATTGTATTTTATAATCGATAATTCTTTTATTTAATTCTTTAGCTAAAATGACATTTTAACGTTTAGTAAATGACGTTTGGATTAGATTAAGAAAAATGTAGAAAAACTAATATTTTTTTTCTTAATATTTATAAAAATAGAAACAAATTTATATTTTTTTTTTCACCCAGGGAACATATAATATTAGATCCAGGGAAATAGAAACAAATGGTTTCACACTTATAATTTTGGAATAAAAAATAAAAGTTGATGGACAAAAAAAAAAAACCAAAGCTCCTGCCTGCCTGTCAGCTCTCTAGCTTCTAATTTTCGATTATTACCTATGTAATTGGATTATTCTATTTATTTACTGGTAGGCTATGCGGTGGACTGCTAATAATTTCTTATTAATTTTAGGCAAGCAAAAAATAAATGTTTAATATTATTATTATTATTATTTCGCATTTTAGGCAAACCAGCAACTGTGAATAATGGATGCAGTAGTGGCGGGAGATTGGTCCACCCCCAACCGCCATCAGTCTGCATAATTGTGATAAACATTGAAATAAATGCTCCAAAAATAAGTACTATTTCAGCCATAGGAGCCCACTTTTAAGAGAAGATTTTAAACGAGAAGTTAGCTTTTCATAAAATCCACCGCTCAAATGTGTAATCTTTTATTTTCTATCCAATTCTTTCCGCAGCAAAAAATGGAATCGTACTGCACATTTCTTAATATTCGTCACATATTTAAAATTTTACATTGTTTAAGAAACTATTAAATTTATTTTAATTACAATAAAATTATTAAATAACTTGACTATATTACACTTGGTTTAATAGTATTAATTTTTTAAAAAAAACCACTAAATTAAATAATAATAATTATTGTCATGTATAAAGGTAAATATGAAAAAATATTTATTATTTCTTGAAATCACAAATATTATAAATATTTCGGAACAAATCATGTTCTCAAATATGACAAATATTATGGAACGGAGGTAGTAATCTATACACTTTTCAATAAAATTCCCATCACAAATTATACTCAATGGTAAATTAACATAAGCTAACAAGCCAATGCCAACATCCAAAGTAAAGATCATTTACTTCCATATTTGCACATCACCCTCACCCTCATCCTCTCCCCTTTAATTTGTCACCTAATTGAACAATATTAAATTTCTTACAGAAGTAATAGAGGAACATTACAACCAAATTTAAAAAAATCAACCTTACGATTGAAAAGTATACAACTTCTTACAAATTTTATAAAAATAATAGGAAAAAAAAAATTGCAATCAAATATAGAAAACCAATTTATACTTGACAACTCTGAATGAAAAAAACAACTAATTGCAATCAAATATAGAAAACCAATTTATACTTGACAACTCTGAACGAAAAAAATAACTAATTGCAATCAAATATAGAAAACTAATTTGAACGTGACAACTCTGAATGGAAAAAAATAACTAATTGCAGTCAAATATAGAAAACCAATTTATACTTGACAACTCTGAATGAAAAAAATAACTAATTGCAATCAAATATAGAAAACCAATTTATATTTGACAACTCTGAATGAAAAAAAAAAAAACTAATTGCAATCAAATATAGAAAACTAATTGGAACGTGACAACTCTGAATGAAAAAAAATAACTAATTGCAATCAAATATAGAAAACTAATTTGAACGTGACAACTCTGAATGAAAAAATTAATTAATCAATTAATTGTCCACAGTACCATGAGCAGCATGCTAAATCTCTATGTACATCAAATAGTAACATTTTTTATTCCACAAAATGCAAAGTGATAGCAAATATAAGGATTCGTTTTTTCTCCAAAAAATAATTTATCTTTGGAAAATATTTTCCTAATAATTTATTTTATATCGTTCGATTCCAATATTGAAAATCAGTTAAAAAGTATCAAAATTTATCATTTATAAGATTATAAAAATATTTAGAATCATAAAAAATTTATAAGTTAAACATGAGAAAAAATACAAAAAAATAATAAATTGTAGTAGTCATCAGTAACCAATATTGGTGGTCGATGGTCGACAGTGACTAAATGCAATCGATAACGCTGAACACTGACTAAATGTGATTGATAATGTTGAATACCAGTGATAGATGGATTAATATAAATGTGTATTTACATAGTTGTAATAAATTTATTAGAGTATTCGGAAAATATTTTACTCCTTTTAAAAAATAAAGTCATTTTCCTTGAAAATAACTTGGCCGATTTTTCAAAGTAATCTAAACATCAAAAAATTCAGAAAGATAAAATATTTTCCGAAAACAAGTAGAAACTAAATAGAATAGTTCTTGACCTTACCTTAGTTGGAATGTCGCATAGGGAAAAGATATTTCCAAGAAACAGAGCTGTTAAGTCTTCCAAAAAGTTCAAGTCTTGTGTGCTGAATGAACCATCGAGGATCCTAGGATAGAATAAGGATGCATACGACTTCCGGCACCTCTATGTTTAGCTGCAAAGTGCAGAAGCATTAGGCTCAGATTGATCAATCTTGCTTAACAGGAGAAAAAGAACCTTCAGGCATAGGTCCAGTGACGGAACTTATGACAATAGCCACATGTCATGTTGGAGTCGAGCTACGACTTTGCACATACACTGGAGTTCCTCATCAGCTCTATACTTTCAGCAATAGTTGATCCAGGAGTCCCAACAAAACCGAGTGAAGCACAAGCACAAATGCTTTCCTCTAGATATAAAAGCACATCAGGCAATCTCTCATAAGGACAATGCAAACTCATCTTGTGCAGTCCATCAATATTCCATGGTGATCTAAACCTCAAACCATGCCCTGCATCTGCAATTTCCTTTGCTGTTTGTACAATCAATTCGTCTTCTTCTCTCAGAAAGTACAATTTAAAATTGTCTGAGTCCCTCGCCAGGTCCCCCAAGTAACTTCCAATCCAATTGCCTTCAGGAAGATCAGTCATTACAAAAATATGAATGGGTTGCGGAGCCGTCTGCTTCAGAGATTCTAACTTCTGTTTCAAGCCCAGAAAAGTGGCTTCCCGGTGATTCTTAAACTGCCCATCTAACAACCTGAGCTGGGCACAAAGAAAAGGAGCCCTTATAGTCTCCAAAGCAAACTTCTTCCCTGCACTTAAGATTTCAGGAACAAAGGGAAGAAATTTACTTTTCTCAATCAAAGATTGTATCCTTTGATCACTCTGCACCTCATGTATATCAATATACAACTCTGAACCCTTGTATGGGGCAGTGAATAGGCTTCCAAATGCCAAAACAACTGCAGAGTCAGATTTAGAATCAGGTCCAAGTGCCATATATACATCTCGGCGCCTCCTAATGTATGAAATATTTTTTTTCTTCTTCAGTTGCTCATCGGGTTGGAATGAATCTAATGCCCCATCCTCTTCACCATTCTTGTAAGTCCAAACTGTGGTTTTGCAATCTTCATCTACAGCATATAAACATTTATCTATATTACCATTAACCCCAGATAAACTAGATCCGCACTGCCTAAGGCTATCAAAAAAAGAGGACTGTGTATTCAAATCACTCATGCAAGTAAAATCCTTATTCCCACTGCACCACAAAGATGCAAATATCCTGAAATCTATGGCTCGAATGGAGGAAGGCACTAATGATGAAATGTCAACAATGTCAACCATAGAGACATATCTGCAAATGAAATGGCATGTGGACGATATGAGAGAATGCATAATATTTGGAATTCATTTGAAGAACGAAGAACCAGAAGAAGAACATCATTTAATTCTCTAAAAAAGTGGGAAAAGTGATGGGAAACAATATACAAAATCCAAACTCCATCATTTAGCAGTCTTTTGTTCAGCTAGGAGTAAAATTCTTGGCATTGAATTTGGAAAACTACGCAACAAAACATAAAACTTGTTCACTATGCGAGGCTATGTTTGGTCGGATGTAATCAAAGATGTAATGTAATGAAGCTGCATTACATGTCTCGTTACTTTATTTAGTTGCACAAAGAAAATTTATTGAAATTGAACACCCATTGAATTAATTAATCACTATTACTTCAGCTAATGGAATTCTCATTAGATACAAAGATCTGTGTAATTATGATTACTTTACTAACTTCATTACTTATTTTTTCTTTTATGATTCTATCTACCATCAATCCGGCATTGCCACCATCAAATGATTAATACAATAAATTAATTTCGACATTTATAACCACAAATAGGAACAGAATGACCATACCATTTTAATACATTACATTTTTCAGTACATCATATTGCATTCCATCCTACCAAACACAACCCAACAAAAAGAATTTACTCAACTAAACCCAATAAGGTTGCTGATCTCAGTTAAACTGAACATTCAAATTCTCACACATCCAACCAGCATAAAATAAAGAATCTATATATTCTTTTGTTCAACTTCAATTTTCTTCCTATAATTTTCTCAAGGATCTAGGAAAAGAGCCAAATATTATCTGAATTGCTCGCTTCAATCAATTAAGTAAACAAGCAAAACCAAATAAAGATAACAAAATCAAAACTTTTCAGTAGTAAAACCTGTAAATGAGTCGTCTAGCACCTTTTTCAACAAATTAAAGAAACGAATATCGTGAATACATACAAAAATCAAGATCAAAATACACAGACTAGAGAGAGAAACAAAGCTCAAACCTCCCAGTCTTGAGAAGCTCAATCGCCTGATCCCAGACGGAGTACCTAATCACTTTAGGCTTCAAAACCCTAAATTTTGGGCAACTGCCAAGAGCAACAGCATGGTGATCCAGAACCGGAGGCACAATTAACGTTCTATTCAAAATCCCCGCCATCAGTATCCCATTCTTGAACTCCGATAGCTGGTTGCTGAACCCACTGTGCGGTGCGTACCACAGGAACTTCTCTCCACCGGTTAAGGATTGGAATCTGCTGCATGACGATTGGGGATTTGAGGTTTGATGGGAAACAGAATTGGAGAACTTAGTGTAGGAAGTGAAGAGAATCAGAAAAGTGAAGAGTGTGAAGATGGAGATCAGTAAAATAAAGACTGGAGATCTGTAAGGAATTAAAGGTTTTTTCTTGGTCCATGATTTGGTTGTGTTTCTGTGTAAATTGAGAATGCTGTTCATGGCTCTGTCCTAAGATTCAGGCAAGAAACTGTATGCTTTATCTTTCAGGCAGGAAGAGGAAGTTACGCAACTTAAGCCATTGGCCTTGTAGGCATTGTTATTTTTTGATCTTCTATAATTTTTATAAATTTAATTGTTATTATCGGGGTATTTTATTAATTTTTTTCATTTACTAAGACCAGAATAATATTATGAAATATACAATAATAACCACACATTACTGGAATTTTATTTTTAAAAAATTATTTATTAAAAGATTTTAGAATAGGGTAAGACGTCATTTTATTTTGTTACGATACCACTACAGCAGCATCAATAATAAAATAAATAATATGCTACAATTTTCATAATATGCTATATAAATTTTAAAAATTATGGAATTATTTTGATAAAATGGCTTTATTAATTTACAAACCATTATTAATTACCAAATAACTTGGGAGAGAGTGGAATGGATTAAAAGACTATTTTTGGAATAGGATTCAAATAACCAACTTAAAAGAGATAACTGATGAAGCAGAATAACTTCCTCGAAAAAACAGAGAGAGTAACAACCCTCCTCAAATTAATATAAATGTTAAAGATTCAAATAATTTCTGACAAGCTCCTACAGCCTACACCAAGTTACCATCTAAAACAAACTACTGATTCTTTGGAAAAAGATGAAATTAAAAAGAAATAAAATTTATTAAACGATCCCACAAACGAATATGCAAATTAACCCAAGACAGACTGCACATTGACATTATTGTCTTGTATAAACAGTAACTATGAAGCTCATCAGCACTGAGCTAACCTACAAATCCCATGCCTGCAAAAAAGGCTTCCTTTAAACTGCATGGATTGGGCTGCCGTTTGAGTTCATGTTTGAATCGTTAGAGGCTGGATTAGCATGAAAAGCAGATTGTCTTGAAGACCCTTCAAGCAATTTCAAGGAAAGAGACGAGGGGCCAATAGAGTCTCCTAAACTTAGTTTTGACATGCCAACCAGCTCATCAACGTTGATTGGGCTTTTTGAATGTACTGCTGTTGGCTTGAGAACCTCGTGAGTCTCCTCCTTCTTACTTGGCTCCGCATTGTATGCTGACCACAGTGGAAAAGAAAATGGGAAGAATGGTGGGATATAAGCTGGGTATATAACTGGGTAAACTGACTGTGAACTATCTGGCTTTGGAGGAGCAGCATCTGTCTCATTGGAGTTTGTAGAATCCATTGATTCACATTCTTCATCCAATGGAGGAGGAGCAGGCAACGGATTCGGATCATCGATTTGTGTTTCAGTCTGGGGATGGTTGGCAGACAAGAAGTCTTGTGATATCATTGGAGTGTCAACTGGCTGCAAATGAAAAAGAAAAAGAGACATCAGATAAGGGCACTGAAAAAACAAAAAAATGTTAAAAGGCTTCACAAATACACAAAATGAACATGAGCTAATATGAGATTTGTACAATGTCATATAGAAGACTGTGAAACAGCATAATAATGATCGGCACTGCTGGCCTTTAGAGACATCTGAAAATCCTATTAAGTTCCCTATGCCAAAATAAGCGCAAATGCTTGCACAAGCAAATCAAATTATCCCAATGTGAAAGAACTGTATATTCACAAACCCAGGATAAGAACCAAAAAAAGATGGGACTGCCAGTGCCAGGTTTATGTCCAGGAAAACAGATCTAGTTCTTTTATGGTTTGCAATAGATGAATGTTCCAAAAACCAATCAAAAATTACCTTGTAACAAGACGAAAATGGCATGTTTATATAAACTCTTTTCTTTCCAGCAATGAACAAAATTATCATATACTAGATTTTAAAATTGAGTAGAGCATGAGCGTGTTGGAACACGCATGACTAGTTAATCTAGTTATAGGAGTACGGAAAAAAGAACGGTGCTCACTTCATCAGCAACAATATCAAACAGACTGGACCGCCTTTTCCTCCTCGAGACATTGCTTTGCCTGATGAAATACTTCTGCGCATGACTGGCCACCTGAGTAGGCGTCCTTGATATAACATAATTGCGCGCAATTCCTCGCCAATCACCTTTCCCAAGCTTCTGCAAACCAAGAAGAAACATCCTATGTTCCTCTTCAGTCCATGGAACACCTGCATAAGAATTCGTCATTGAAGAGAAATAAGAGCATATTTCGCAAGCAAAACAAAAATCTCTCTGCTTGAGTATGATGATTTTGAATGAGAGATTTTGATTTGATTTTAATTTACATCATCCAAGTGAAAATCAGCCCTTTTTAATTAGATTCGTTAATGTGCTCAAAGAAAATAGAATTTTGAAGTGAATTAAAAATGATACTTTTTTTACAGGGTACTTCATATTCATATTTTTCCATGTTCATAAACCTCACCTATCCATAGACCTAAGCAATTAAAGTAAACGTATATATTATCAAATTCATGTATCACAATTTCAAATCCCTCCATCCAATTGCAAGGTTATAGATGCCTTAGAAACTTCTAATTGTGGACTTTCTCCAAAGTATCCTCGTGTAGAAATATATTATATTCTGCTTTACTTATGAATAAATCAGATCAGGCAATAAACCCAATTCATGACTGACTGCTGGAAAATATAAGTTTGAGTTACCAGTCTGTAGCATAAAACGACATGTCATGTTGTATTTCATTAAGCAGTTTGTCCTACAGGAAAATACTACCCTAAAGTTATTGATTTCGCTTTTGAGGGGCAGACATCCTCACAAGAAAAAAAAAAAAAAAAATCATTGTATTCACAATTCATAATCCCTCCATCCAGATTGCAAAGGTTATAGATGCCTTAGAAACTTTCTAATTGTGGACTTTCTTCAAAGTAGTCCTCGTTGTAGAATGAATATATTAACCTATATTATACTGCCACTCAAAATTACTTAATGATAGTAGATCAGACAGGCAATAAACCCAGATTCATGCCTGACTGCTGCGAAAATATGAGTTGAGTTACCAGTCTTAGCCATAGAACCTACATGGTGTGTTGTGTCTATCTTCATTAAAGCAGTTTGTCCCTACAGGAAAAATAACTACCCTAAAGTTATGATTTCTGCTTTTTTGGAGGAGCAGACATTTCCTCACAAGTGATAGAAGCAAAAAAAAAAAAAAAGAGGAAGCAAATCAGTTGACAGTAGGTCTCCAGTAGCAATAACGCATAAATTATCCCCACACAAGCCTAATCACCGAAATATTCATAACATACAGGTGTCGTAAATCTTAGAAGTTCATAATTAGCAGCCTGCTCTCTTATGACATGAGCTTTAAAAGGAATGACCTCCTTCAAAGAGAAGAATTAAAAAAAAAAAAAAAAAAGAGGAAAGCAATCAGTTGACAGTTGCCAGAAAATACAAAATTATCCCACACAAGCCTAATCCAAAATAAGGTAGTAAATCTTAGAAGTCATAATTAGCACCCTTTATTATGAAGGAGCTTTAAAGAGACCATCCTCAAAGAAATATCCCACTTACTGCCTCGCTAGATGGGAACAATTTTAACATCTTGCATTGGTGGAGCAGGTATAGCATAAATTCAAAACAATTTCTAGCTGATAAAAAAGAAGAAGAAGAACTTCAAAATAGAGCATTTAGAATCAGAAACTGTTGGGGGGCATCAAACAGCTAAAAGATGTTTTTTTTTAAGTAATGGGTTGACCTAGCTATGGAGGGTCAAAAAGCATTAGGCTAGCTCCCCACAACTAAACAAAACACCATTTCATTCTAGGGGAACAAACCATTGTATTCCTTTATTTAGATTTAATGCAGTTATTTACATATAGCATGGCACATCTAGTCAAATCAAACTCGTAATCAACTTCATTTTGTTAGGCTTATTTCTTATTTTTTTATCTCAAATCTCAATCAGTCTGTACTCCAAAATCATCAACTGAACCAAAATCATCAATTAAAAACCAAATTAACTATTCATTGCAAGGTTGTAAATCCACATAAGAAATAGGCAAAAACAATCATCCAAATCCAATTCTAAGATTAACATCCAAAAAAAAAATTGAGCTTTAGCTAAAGTAGAAGTACGCATATGCCTAACCTTTCTTTCGCTCACGGCTGGAAGAAGACCCAGCAACGAAATCCTCAGAAGCGTAACCATCAGCAGCGGCGCCATGATCGGGCGTCTCCCCAGGTGATCCGGGGTTGTTGGACCCGGATGCAAGCGCACCACCCGGGTTAGGTGATCCGGTATAATGGCTCAAATTGCCCATACTAGCACTTTTCCGGATCGACCCGTCGGTCAATCGAACCCCGAAGAGCTTGACCCCACGGTTAGGGCAGGTCCGCGAATTGTGGCCGTTGTGGCTGCAATGCGAGCACCGCCTAGTCATGGCTGATTCCGGTTTCGTATAAAATAGGTGGGGAATTTGATATGATCCGGATCTGAGAGGATTCGAATTACATGGCCCTGAGAAATGGCAATGTTTTCTCCAAGTCCCCTGGCTGTCGCAGGAGAGAGAGAAATTAGGAAGAGAGACAGAGAGAGAGAAACTATATCCTTATATCCAATGTACATAATTTAGGTTATCATTACGGATAAAGGGAATTATTAGATACTTCGCAGAACTCGTTCCTCCGTGCTAAGCCGCTGATCTAGTCAATGAAAACGAGACTCTCTGGTTGACCAAAGATTTTGTGAGACCAATCGTATCATGTATCATCAAGTGCGTAATATTTGGGCTTTGGGCTAGTATTTAAAAAAAAAAAAAAATTCACCCAAAATTCATAAAATTGTACATTTCAACGTTATAGTTGAAAAATAAAATTAATAGATTTAAAGAATATTTTTTAATAAAATTAAGCAATTTAAATTAAATTATTAATAAAAAAATAATTAAAAAAAATTCACTTTTGAGGTGAGATTTCTTTTTATAGAGAGAATGAAATTTATCAATTTGATCACCCTTTAATAAATTTTGAATTAACACTTCAATAGTCATTATTTAAAAAGCTTCAGTAATTATTCCAGATGTTTCTAAGAAAATAGAAAACTTTTTTGCAAGAAAAAAAAGTTGAAAATCATTGTAAAAGAAATTAAAGGGATGAACTTTCTTTTCACCACCTTTTTTTTATTTTTATTTCCAATTTTTATTGATGAAAAGCAAAAGAGATAAAATCAAAGTTTTAAATATGTGGTCATTTGTATCAAAATAAATACAACAAATCACAACTTGGATCTAAAAGCTAACCATTAACATAATTTAAAATTTTTGGATAATCATCTTTAAAAAAAAAAAAAAACTACCCATAAGTTATTTCCATTTTGTTCTGTTCTGTATACATTGTACACCATATTTTTTTTAAACATCAATAGTTGACCATCTATATAAATATTTAATTTTTAAATTAAAATATAGAGGGTTGATATGACATTTGATTTTTCTTTAAATATATTTTATTATATTTTAAAACTTTAGAAATAATATAATAAGAAAATAATTTTAGTTGAAATTTTATTCAGATGGGAAAAGGAAGAAAATAACTTCATTTTTCTTTTTAGAATATTTTTTTCACACGTTTTCTTAGTGACGGAATACGACACGTGTACGGTGAGGGAACAATCTTCGAAGCCTATCGTAATCTTGGTCCAAGATCGTGGTGGGTGAGATATAGTTAAATACATGGTCCACGTGGATCTTGCTTTTCTAAAAGCCGAGTGGGTTTTGGCATATTCTAGCGTACAATCGCATATATCAAATTGCATCTTACGATCCACCTTATCCATAGGATTAGGAACTTATCGTATTTTGGTTTTTGGAGCCCACATTTGATTTATCTAATCCTTTTCGAATAAACAATCAATTGCAAATGTAAAAATTATAATTTGAATAATAAATTTTGAAATACTAATATTATTTAAAATGTATTTTTTTTTAATAAATGACATTAAATCTATAATTATTATAATTCTCTTATTCTGCTATTTATAAAATAAAGATTTTTCAATTGCACCACATTTTATTGGATTTTTTTTTTATTTTTCAGTTATTATCGTCAAGATCAAGAAATATCATATAAGCAAATCATGTCAAGCAAGAAAGAAAAAAAATGAAGAATCAAAGTAATTAAGGACAAGGAATAATTTTAAAAGAAAAAGAAAAGGACAAGGAAGAATAATTAATCTTTTTCCTTAATTGTAAATCAGTACAATTAGTACAGGCTTACAGCATCATTTAGGGACACCTGGGCTAACTTTATTAAAGACGATGGCCATGTGATCTACACTGCTAATTTTTACGGTCGTGATTCAATCACAGCTCGAGTGCACATTAGCACTTGTCTTACTTGACCTTTTCGCTGCTACGCGTCCGTCTGGGTCTGGGTCTTGGTCTTGCCCCAAAAACAATAGAAAGGAAAGGTTCTTAACTTCTAAATTTCTTAATTCAAAGCATTTCCTTTCTTCTCAAGTTCATTATTTGACTCTCCACCGGGTTCACATTATTTTATAATCTATCTATACTATATATAAAAATAATATTAAAAGTAATGTTTAATGCAAATTGCATTGTAAATTAATTATTATAATTATTCTAATTTAAATAAAAATTTATATTTTAGTATTATATAAATAAAAAATTAAATAAGAATAAAGAACAAGTATAGTTAATGTGTAATGCACATCATAAAAAAGACTAATACTATATATAATAGTGGAAATGAGGGAGGAAATAATGAGATTATCTATAATGCCCTTAGTACAATTTTAAGTATCCTAAAATAACTTTATTAATAACCAATTAAATTTTATTTTAAATATTATACTTAATAAATAATTAACATTATCATTAATTAAATTTGAAATGTTCTAAAATGACCTTATTAATAACCAATTAAATTTTATTTTAAATATTATGCTTAGTAGATAATTAACGTCAACTATATATTAATAAATATTTTATTTTTAATTATTTATGTTATATAATAAGACTATACATGAAAATTGAATATTTTTTTTGTTTACTACATATGTTTTTAATTTATTTAATTTAGGATTTAAATTAAATGTTATAGCTAAATACATGTTACATATTTCAGTATTTATTATATATATTAGTTTGCTCTATTTAACTTAATAGATAATAAGATTATCCTATAATGCCCTTTAGTTACCTCAAATTTTTAAGATATCCTTTACAATAATTTCTCTAATTTAAATAAGGCGCCCAAAATTAAATTTGTTTTATATACCAAATACTATTATACTTAAATATATATACATTAACTCATCTAATCCCATTGAAACTTAATTTTAGATCACCAATGTTTTCCTAAGGATCATTGACCATTTATAGTGAATCTCAGACAACATAAAATTTTATATTTATGGAATATATGCATTAAACATGCTAGAGATAAAATATAATGGTGATCACTAAAATAACTATTAATAAAATATTTTATTTTTAAATTATATTTTAATTGTGTAGGTATAATAAAGACATATACATGAAAAATTGAAATTTTATTTTGTTATCGTACAAATGGTTATAAATTTTTTATAATTACTTACATTTAGGATTTAAATTAGGGAGATGAATAATCAATAGTAATAATATTTATATATGCACTGGTACATATTTCGCCTGAGTATTTGATTATGAATATATATAGTATGATCCTAGTATTAACTATAATGATAAAATACAACAATATGAATATTAGATGAATAATCATACTATAATATTCTCTATCTAATATACACTATCCAATATATAAAAGTGAGAATGAGGGGGCTAATTACATCGTAGAGAATCGACCGTTTATAGGAAGTGCATTCATCTGATCAACTTTAAATATGATCTGAAATCAAACTCCATTAAGTACTTTCTAAGTGCTTAAACGGGAGAGAGTTAAAAATATGTCCTTATATTTGAAATATTCATCGGCATTAAATAAGTAAAAAATAGATTACCATGTACATAATATTGATACCCTTTCAAATGAAATTTAAATGTTTACTATATATGATGATTGTGCACAGATGGTGTGTGTTAGTCAACTTTTTTTATTTCCAATGAAGCACAATAATACATATTAATAAAATACCTGAATTAAGCAATTGGAAAAATAAACTTTAAAATTTTTGAGGCTCTTTATATATCTCATTATTGTCTAATTATGTTATTGTAATTTTATAGAACTGATATAAATTTTAATCAATAAGTTAAGATAGATGGACGTTTTTTTATAATCTATAATATATCTATCTATTTATACAATATATAAAAGTGAGAATGAGGGGCAGAATAATGAGATCACCTATAATGCATTCACTGAAATTTTAAATATTCTAAAATAACCTTATTTATGACGAGTTAAATTTTATTTTAAATATTACGCTTAATAGATAATTAATGTTACAATAATACCCTTAATGAAATTTAAATGTTCTATAATTTGATTGGAGTTTTTTTAACTTTTTTTCAATAGATAAATACATATAAACAATTAAGCATTTGAAAATTTAAAATTTTACTTTTATTATCTCATTATGTCTAATTATGTTTTATTTTATTATAATTTTAATAATAATTAAATAATTTTTGAGATTTATTATTATTATTATTATATTTTTATTTATTATCTTCAACATTATTATTTTAAATGTATATATGTAAATATGAGGTATTTACAAATTTTTATTTTTTCAAATTTATTTTAAATAAATATATCTAGATAATTAAAATTTTGATTTAAAAGGGGTATGGTTAAGTTTTTTTTTTTTAATTATAAATTGCGCTCTAATTTGATTGGCCAAAAAATAAGATAAAAAATTATATTTTTAAACATCTCAAATTTAATTACTTATATCGATATCTTATTTAATTCAAATCTTATTCTTTGTACTAAGGAATATAATTATAACAATAAATTTTTTAAATGACTTCATGATTGTGATGGGTTAAAAAAATAAAAATAAAAATAATTATTATTTACAAATATTTATTTGGTTTATTAGATTAATTTCTTATTCTATTGTTAAAGTATATTTATTTACTGAAAGAGGTAATAGTGAAATTTATTAACAAAACATGTAAATTAATTATAAAATGTAAAATAAAAACTGTATGATGCTTTTTATGAATTAATTTGGTACTTAAACAAAAAATAAAACAACAAGCGTAGAATAAAAACTCTATAAATCAGTATGTTGAAGAGAATATAAATGACATATTTCATATTTAAATTGTTATTTTAAAGAGAGAAATAAATATATCAATTAAAACCTTGCTTTTATTTTACAGAGAGAAATAAATATATCAATTTTTTTCAAATTAAGAGGTATTACGGTGCGAGCATATATAATTAAAAAGAAGAGAATATAAATGACATATTTCATATTTAAATTGTTATTTTAAAGAGAGAAATAAATATATCAATTTTTTTCAATAAGAGGTATTACGGTGCGAGATATATAATTAAAAAGAATATTTTACTATATATAAAAACCACTATATTTATTGCAATCTAAATAAAAATTTATATTTTAATTATATAAATAAAAAACTAAAGGAGTATAAAAAATAAGCATATCACTAGCAAAATGCATATTATAAAAAGAACTAGTAATAATAAAAATCTAAAATACCTAAAAAAAAATTAAAGAAAAAACTTCTTCATAAACCAGTTCTTTAATTTGGTTCTATTCAATGTAACTTCGCTAAAATCTTAATAAGAAACAGAACCAAAACTGAAAAGTAATCTTCATTTCAATTCTTAAAGTTTCGATTTTTTTTCATGGAATGAAATTCTTATCTTTAACAACTTCAGCGACCATGAGAGGCAAATGATTCTGTTAATGTTATTGAAGGAATGGAGATCTCTTCAATCGAAACATCAACTGGTTCCCCTGCTTCGTTAGTAGAGACATCGTTGAACTCCCTGGATTTTATAATAGAACTCAAGTTATCCGGCAATGGAGCTACTCCATCTAAGAATTGCATCACACTAGCCATGCTTGGCCTAACTGCAGCTACAGCATGTGAACACAATAATCCCAATTTCAAAACCAATTCAACTTCATCTATAACATATCCCTTCTCTATTCTATAATCAACTGTCTCTAAAATATCTCCCTTGTCCCAACAATCCATCACCCAATCCATCAAAATTATTTCCTCAGGCGACGAGGCTCGTGGGTTTACTGGCCTTCTACCACAAACAATCTCTAGCATAAATACACCAAAAGCAAATATATCGGTAGCTGTGCTTGCTTTCCCACTTCGCGCAAGCTCTGGAGCTATATATCCAAGAGTGCCTGCTATACGAGTGGTTTGAGGATCAAAACCATGATCACATAACTTAGCAAGCCCGAAATCTCCCAGTCTTGCGTTCATTTCATTATCTAAGAGAACATTAGCAGGCTTTATGTCTCTATGAATGATTACCTGTACCCATTGTTGATGTAAATAGAATAGTGCAGATGCAACATTTTTTATGATGTTGAATCTTTGGCTCCAGTCCAGTATGAAATTAGGTTGACCATAAAGGAACTTGTCAAGACTTCCATTAGGCATATAGTCGTAAACTAAATAGAGTTGGCTCTTGCGCCTGCAATAACCCAGTAGACGAACTAAGTTTGGATGCCTGAGGCGGCCAATGGTTGCTATTTCAGCTACGAATTCTCTCATTCCTTGTTTAGACTCGTGAGAAATTCGTTTCACTGCAATTTGTGCATTTGACGAGGGTAAAACTCCTTTATATACCCTACCAAAACCTCCTTTCCCAAGAAGTTGCTTCTCTTTAAAGCCCTTTGCAGCTGTGAACAAGTCTTTATAAGTAAACCTGTGAGGTCCATAAAGCACCTCCCAATCCTCAAGAACTTGAATCAATTTTTTCTTTCTATAGATCAGAACAACTCCGAAAATTAAAATTAACAGAAAAGTACCTCCTATTAAAGATAATATTACTGCCAACATCTTTTGTATTTTTCTATACCTTCCCTCCTCAATTCCAACACCTGGGACTTTAGGAAGGTGAGATATGTCAAAATCTTGGGCTTGGCCATTCATCTTAAAACTCCAACCCAAAATATAATGAGAAGATGACAGTAACCCACTGGAGGATGAAAAGCCAACATACATATGATCGTAGAGATATAGAGAGAGATCTTTGTTTAAAGACAAAAGAGGGAGCTTCGGCTTCTTGATATGTATTGGATGGATAGTAACGTTAAGTATTTTATCCACACCATCATATTCTACCCAAACCTGCAGTGGTTTTGCACTTGCAAGATCAATCTCTATGAATTTATTATCAGCGTAGTAACCTGCAGGAGCAGCTGTTACAGATTCCAAACTATTGATATCAATCCCCACATGGTTGTCATTTATGTCTCCAAATTCAAAATCTTGGACTGTGTCGAACTCCACAGCAACTATATGGTTTGAATCATTGCCAACATTGGCTGAGTTGAAAAGGCCAAGATATTGGCTAGGGAGGCCGTCAGGAATTTCTTTTGAAGGAGAAATAGCAAAAGCAAATCCATGGCCGCCAAGTTTTGGATATTCAGGTACAATCGCAAAAATAAAGGTGGTGGAGAAAGAGGAGACAAGACTGCTATTGCTAGAGTTCTTGAATCGAATAGGATTGTAGTAGAAGACATGTCCTTTGATACGTGAGGTATCATTTGTTAGCTTTATTAGACCGTTGGAAGAGTTAAGGTCTGCACCACCATCTTGCTGTAATAATTGGCCATTAAAGCTGAACTCATCTAGAATATTGCCACCAGAAAATGCAAGATAATTGAACATAACTAGCATGAAAATGATCCCACACATGGCTTCTTTGATTCTTTGCAAAGGCACTCTGATAATAGGACTGGCCTTGTCAAAGTACGAAGAAGAGCGTAGGTAAATAAAAGCCATTAGTGAATTAAGATACGCGTACGCGGGAACGATTAAAGAACAAAAAAAGTCAAAGCAGAACAAATTTGAACAACACTGTAAAAAAAAAAAAACTTTTGGGAAAAGCCATTAGTGAATTAAGATACGCGTACGTGGGAACGATTAAAGAACAAAAAAAGTCGAAGCAGAACAAAATTGAACAACAGTGTAGAAAAAAAAAAAAAAAAAAAAAAGATACGCGTACGCTGGGACACGATTATAAGACACCAAAAAAAGCTCAAGCAGAACAAATTTGAAAACACACACTTGTTAAAAAAAAAAACACTTTTGAAAAGCCCAGTCTAGTGAATTAAGATACGCGTACGTGGGAACGATTAAATGAAACAAAAAAAAGTTCCGAAGCAGCAACAAAACTTGAACAACAGTGTGTAGAAACAAAAATAAAAAAAAAAAAACAAAGAAACTCTTGGGGATTTCTTTAGCCTAATCTTTTATATGTCAATCTAGTGTTCGGTTAAGCACATGCTTCTCCAGACATCAGACACAAAACCACGACCAAGCTTGGATTTTTCTTAAAAATGCTGTCGTGGAAGTGTAAACTCCGTACAGTAAAATGTTTTCACATTGCGATTAGTTTGAAAAACAAGGAGCTTAATGAAGGGCAATTATAGCCATAATTAAACGCAGACGCTGATTCTTGAAAAAACTTATAAAACAGGGAAAAGTATTCCGTTCTGCAAATTTCAATCAACCTGAACTAACAAGATTTTGTCAAACATATACCAGGCTTTGAAGGTAAACTTTATTTTTCAATTCCTATCAAGCCAAATTGCTATGTGTAGTGCCTTCTTTCGGTCCTCAACGGTCAAGAAGAGTTTAGTTGAGAGAAAACTTAAAAAAAAAAAAAAAAAAAAGAAACTCTTGGGATTTCTTTAGCCTAATCTTTTATATGTAATTAGGTCGGAAGCACATGGCTTCCAGACATAGAAAAAACCAGACAGCTTGGATTTTCTTAAAAAGCTGTGTGAAGTGTAAACTCGTACATGTAAAATGTTCACATTGGATTAGTTTGAAAAACAAGGAGTTAATGAAGAATTATAGCATAATTAAACGCAGAGTGATTCTTGAAAAAACTTTAAACAGGGAAAAGATCCGTTCTGCAAATTTCAAAACCTGAATAAAAGATGTCAAAACATACAGGCTTTGAAGGTAAACTTATTTTCAATCTTATCAAGCAAATTGCTAGTGTAGTGCCTTCTTTGGTCTCAAGGTAAGAAGAGTTTAGTTGAGAGAAACTTAGTTGATTTCACGAGAGATCAAGAAACGAACGAACAATCAGAAGCAAATCAAGAAACAACTTAAGTATATATATCATAGAACATTTGTGAAATCTGCAACAACATTCTTGAACAAACAGTGCCTTAGTGATGCTACGGCAATGAAGCGGAAGCCTGCAGATTTTGCTCTACTTTGATGTTTAAAATGTATGCAGATCTTTTGGCAGAAAAAAGAATAATTTTTCCTTCCTGGTGAAAGTATGAAATTGTGCAGTTTGTACAGCAAGAAATATATGAATTCATCTCTTGTTCTCCTGGTGAGTAATCAAACAGCTTATCAGAACGGCATCGTTCCCTGGGATTGTATCCTTTTCTCAATATAAAATTAACTATATTTAATATGTTTTTTTTTTCAACAAATACAATAATTAGAAAACTGTATTATCATGATATAAATAAAATTAGCATATTAATTAACCTTTTAATTTTTTAATAAAAGTCTATTTAATTAATTATTAGATTAATTTCAAAATAATTTAATGGATTATTTAATCTTTATTGATACTACTATAAGGATATATTAGAAAAAAAATAACCAAAAATTATAATTTAATTATATTAACTAAATTTTCTTAATTTCCACTAAATTTTCTTCATGCCGAGTAATAAATTATTAATTTATGAATGACTTAAATAAAATAGTATATTTTCGATGACATTCAAGCTTGTACTGCTGTTTGTCGCAAAGAGACAAAAGACAAAAGACAAGTTCAATAATCAAGAACAGCTTAGCTTTGTTTCTTGCAAGAGAAAAATTAAAGTTATAGGGAGAGTGAGAAAAAAAAAAAGGTTAGAGAGAGATGGAGATTGAATTCTTGCACAAACACCCATTGAAGTTTTATGACAAATCAAATGAAGAGATATGTATGGGATGTAGAGAACCCATATTAGATCAAACTTATGGTTGCAGCCGTTGTCAATTTTTTCTCCACAAATCTTGTACTCAGCTTCCAATAAAAATCAAACATTTTTTCCATCCATGCCCTCTTCTCCTCAGAATTTCCTCAATTTCGAAATGTAATGCTTGCTATGAAGATACCCCAGGTTTCATTTACAGTTGTGAGCCATGTGAGTTCAATATGGATATCAAATGCTCTCAGCTTCCTAAAATAAACCCTAATATCCAAGAAAAGCAAATCTACCATTCTAGTCATAGGCATCCTTTAACTCTCTTTAGAGATCTTGAGGGCAATGAAGCTTACTGTAAAGTATGCAAAAAGCTCTGTTTAATTCAGATTTGCGGTTGCAGCGAATGCAATTATTATCTTCATATTTCTTGTATGGAATTTTTGCCCCAGAAAATTCAAGGCTCATTTCATTCTTGCATGGTTACTCTACTCACTGGCCAGCAATATCTTTGTGGTTCTTGTAATAAAGATTTTTCTGGCTTGACTTTTCGCTGCGGTAAGTGCTATTTCCATCTATGCTTAGATTGTTTTGTAACTTCAACTGTAAAGTCTGAAGGGCATTCTAGGCTTCCTTTGGAAATACTGCATTTCATTCACCCTTGTCCTCTTTTTCTTAGGATTTCTTATGTATTTATGTGTAATGCTTGCCTTGATCGTCGCTCTGGCTTTGCTTACTATTGCGAAAAATGTGAATTTAATTTAGATATTGAGTGTTCTCAAGTTCCTATAGTAAACTCTGAGCAGATTCAACATTTTAGTCATTTACATCCCTTGACACTTTATCGAAAACTTGAAGATAATGAAGAAATTAGTTGCAGAATATGTGAGCAACTCTGCTCTGGTTCTGCCTGTGGTTGCAGCCAATGCAATTTTTACCTTCATAAGTCTTGCATGGAAATTTTGCCTCAAAAGATTGAACCTTTATTTCATTCTTGTCCTCTTATTCTGCTATCAACCGTGTCTTATCGGTGTGATGCTTGTCACCAAGACTACTCTGGCTTGACCTTTCGCTGTGGCAAGTGTTACTTCCATCTATGTGTTAATTGCTCTTTAATGTCTACAATGAATCCTAATAGACCTTTCGATATTCCACGAAAGATTCAACATTTCTTTCACTTGTGCCCTCTGTTTCTTAGAATTTCTCCTTCCTATACTTGTAATGCTTGTTATAAACAACATTCAACCTTTAGGTATCAGTGTAATGATTGTGATTTTAATATGGACATTGAATGTGCCCTGATTCCTACTATAGAATCCGATAGTCAGAAGGAGCAAATTCAACATTTCTGTCATTGGCACCCTTTAACACTCTTTGAACAGGTGAAAGATTATGAAACTTGCTGTGGAATATGTGGGAAACTCTGCTCAAGTCCTATCTATGGTTGCAGTCAATGTAATTTTTACATTCATAAATCTTGCATGGAAGCTTTAGAGCAAAGGATTGAGCACTTCTTCCATCAGTGTCCTCTGATTCTACTTACAACTCCATCATATCGGTGTGATGGTTGTGACAAAGATTTCTCGGGCTTGACCTTTCGCTGTGGCAAGTGTTATTTTCAGTTATGTGTTGAATGTGCCCTGCTGCCAGCTATAGAATCTGATTTCCATACAAAAATTCAGCATTTCCTCCATAGGCATCCATTGATTCTTGCTGAGAAGAAAGTTACTGATAAAGTTTATTGCTATGAATGTGGAGAATGTTGCAGGGGAAATACCTACGGCTGTATCAAATGCAATTTCTTTTTACACAAATCATGTGCAAAATTACCACACGAGATTGAAAGTGCATTTCATCCAGAGCATCCCCTATCACTGCTACACATGTCTTCTCAAAATTCAGAAATAGTAAGAAGATGTGATTTGTGTCTCAAGATTTGCAGTCATTTTGCCTTCTGCTGTGAAAAATGTAATTTCGTACTAGATGTGGAATGTGCTTCACTCAAGCCTACAATAAAGTACCAAGGTCATGATCATGATCTTACTGTTGTGGAGAAAATACATGATGAACTTGAATGTGATGCTTGTTACAGCTCTTGCAAGGACCTTCCTGCATTCCGTTGCGTGGAATGCAATTTTGATATTCACCTTTTATGCGGTCCTTTGCCTTGCAAAATTAAACATAAATGTCATGTAGATCCTCTCACACTCAAGGATTATTATGTTGAGGATGAAGATGAAGATGATGAATTCTATTGTGATGCTTGTGAGCAAAGAAGAGATCCGCGATTCTGTGTTTATTATTGTAAACAAGGTTGCCCTATGGTATGTGATGTGAAGTGTGTAATGTCCGAGGTATGTCCCATATAACTAGCTTACTGTGAAGGATCACTGAATTTACCTATCAGTTTTGGCTCAGTGGTACACGAGTCGTCTCTACTATTGTGAGATTAAAGTTTGATTTGATTTGATGAGATATGTATTATCTGCTGCAGGTTATCGCATCATTAAGAGGAGAGCGTGGAGATGTGGAATTAAGAGTTGTTGGCAGACACATGATTAGTAGGGTATTTAGCAAAGACTTGGCAAGTGAAGAAAGAGAGCAAACTGGGACAGATAAAGTTGCAACGAAGGAAAAAGTAAAGATCATACCTACTCGGTCATTGGACGATATAGTTGATTCTCTTGATCCAACTGAGCAAAGTGAACTCAATGATATTGCAACAGCAATGAAAACTAAAAGCAAGGCAACACTTGAAAGCAATAAAAACCAAGTAACTTTGCCATACTCAGAAGAGGCATTTACACAGTTCATGAATTTGCTTGATTCTTCCATTTTGAAATATGAGCTTCCAAATTTTATCCAAGAACATGATTTTACCTCTGTTGGAGACTACCTTGTCTCTCAAACACTCATTCCCACATTCCAAGACTTATTTGCTAAGTATGGAGATGTCAGTGCCAAGTCTACATTCAGTCCCAAATTGAAGTCAATAGTTTTTTGCTTCCTTTGCAGTGTGATACACAGTATGCAGACAACAAAGGTTGTGGACATAACTGAAGATATACTTCAAGAATGGTGGGCATGTTTAAAGTTTGTGCAGCTTGCAGGGTTCAAAATACAGTCCATTATCGATCATGTGAAGCGAGTTGCACGTGCCTACTTTGTTCTTCAGGCTAGAATGTTTACAGATTACACATCTGTGGAGAAAAATGAAGAAATTGAACAGATTTCCAGTGATATTAAGGTACTAACAGTAAAGTTAGAAGAAATAAAGGAACAACAAGAGCATAATAAATTGAATGCACAAGCTGCAACTGCAAGCTTGATGAAGCAATTCTTAAGAGATGCTTCAGCAATGAAGTGGAAGCCTGCAGCTCATGGTCTGCTATAGATTATAATTGTAAAATGTAAATTTGAAAAGCTCATAGCTCAATGCGTACTGTAACCGAATTAAAAACTTTATTAGTGATTAAAAGAAATAAAAAAAACTGAACACTTCATTGTCTCCAGTGACATGCAAAACCAGATTCTTGACAACATGAACAAGGAAAAAAATTGATTTTATCAGAGGGAGCTAGGTCAAAAATCTATTGAAGGATACCATTAAGCCCAATGAACCAGGCTTGGATCAATGCATACAAAGAAAACCCAGTCCAATTTCCAACAAGAAGCTCGCCAATTTTGAAGACCAATATTAAATATCAAACGTATTGATGGATATCTTACAAATTGAAGGTCCAGGCAAGTATGAAACTATGAATTCAAATTCCACAATGGAGTCAACCCAATACTCTGAAATTGAAGGTACAAGCACCGTGAAGCCTATGAATCATGGTCAAAAATCTCCAACGACCAAGATGTCAATTGTCAGTCACATATTTGGAATCTTGCTAATTAGATTCATATTTGCTGCGTCCTTTTCATTAATAGGCCGTGTTGACTTACCTTTTTGCCCTTGGAATTTTCATTGTTCTTACTCTGTTACTGTATTTTGATCAGAACCTTTCTATCAATCTTTCTTCAATCATCGCCTGTTTCACTGTTCTTACTCTTTTGTAGTAAATTACACATTTACTGACTAATTGAGTTGATATGGAGAAGGAAGATTTCTTGATGGACAATCTCTCATCAGAATCAGATTATCAGACCAGTGGCTCTAGAGATTTTGAATTTTTAATCTATAAATCTTGCGGAGGTTATCTGCAAGAAATTCAACATTACTTCCATTCCTGCACTCTTTTCCTCAGTCTTATTTCTTCCTTTACCTGCCCGATTTGTTATAAAAAATGCTTTGGCTTCACATACCAATATGGGAAGTGTTCCTTTAACATGGATATTGAATGTGCCCAACTTTCCATTACAATTTCTGAAAGTGAAGAAGAGGAAATTAGATATTTCTCCCATCAGCATCCTTTGAAGACAGTGCTTTCAGAAATGGAAGATCTCCAAGCTACTTGTGAACTATGTGGAAAGTTACGCTTAACTCCTTGCTATGGTTGCTGCCAATGTGATTTTTATCCCCATAAATCATGTGTTAACGTTTTGCGACAAAAAACCCAGGTCGCCTTTCATTCATGTCCTCTTCTTCTATTAACATCCCCACTTTGTTGGTGTGTTTTCTGTGGTGAAAATTTCTCTGGCTTAGCTTACTGTTGTAATGGCAATTGTCGCTATGAGTTATGTATGTGTTAGTTGTTTCCAAATGTGCAAAAAGAAATGGTATGGACTTGCAAGGGAGATTCAACATTTCTTTCAATCCTTGTCTGCTAGTCCTCAATATTTCTAAATACTATATTTGCAAGTCTTGTTATGAAAGCCAGTCAGGCTTTGCTTATTGCTGTGAACAGTGTCATTGTTATGTGGATATTGGGTGTGCACACTCTGCTACTGCAAATTTCGAAGGCAAAGAAGAGGTACTCAACATTTTTGCCATAGGCACATTCTGACAGTTCTTTCAGAGAGGGATTATTTTCATTACAGATGTGCAATATGTGGGAAGTTATGTGCAAGTCCTTTTTATGGTTGCAGCCAATGCGAGTTTCATATCCATAAATCTTGTATGGAACTTTTAACTCAGAAGGTTGATTGCTCCTTCCACTCATGCCGTCTTGTGCTACTCACATCTCCACTCCACTGGTGTGTTTCATGTGGTGAAAATTTGACAGGCTTGGCATTTGCTTGTGGAAAGTGTCGTTATGAATTGTGTGTCAGTTGTTTTCTGGTGTATATAAAGACGTGTGATGGACTTACAAGAGAGGTTCAACATTTTCTTTCACCCTTGTCTGCTCACTCTCAATACTTATAAAGGTGAGTATATCTGCAATTCTTGTCATCATCAGAGGCACTCCGGCTTGACTTATAGTTGCGAACAGTGTCATTTTTATATGGATGTTCAATGCACGCAATATCCTGCCATGGAAGCCGAAGGCAAAGAACTGCAAATTGAGCATTTCTGTCATCAGCATCCTTTGATAATAAAGACAGAAGAAGTGAAGGCTTTGTGTCACATAAGTGGAAATTTCTACACAGGTATACCTATGTTTGCTATTAAATGTAACTTTTATCTCCATAAATGTTGTATGGAAATTCTGCCTCACAAGACTCAACATCTATCCCATGACTGTCCTCTCCCACTCATGCTTCTAACAAATCCATATTATAATTGTACGGCTTGTGGAAAACTTTCTGGATGCTTGACCTTTTCCTGTGATAATTGTGGATTCAATTTGTGTGTCAAATGCTCTTTATTGCCTTAATCAGATGGTCAGAACAAGAAAATTCTGCATTTTCAGTCATAAGCATCCATTGACATTAAATGAGAAAAAGCAGCAGATTGATTAGAAAGTTTGCTGTAATGCTTGCAAAAAGCATGTCGCTGATCTTGCTTATGGCTGCAACAAGTGCAATTTCTTTTTAGACAAATCTTGTGCTGGATTACCACAAGAAATCCATAGTCATATTCACCCATTTGATCACCCTCTCTCTTTAAATCAAAACAAGTTTGCTGTAAACTGTGTTTTATGAGCTGCGACATTGCCTATTGCTGTGAACTATGTGATTTCCACTTGGACATTGCCCGTGTATATTTAAGACTTACAGTAAAATATGATGGTCATGTTCACCTTCTTACTGTTGTGGAGAACATACATCTTGAACGAACATGCGACACTTGTGATTCACCCTGCCCTGCCGGCTCATCTACTTTGCGTTGTTGGGAATGCAATTTTAATCTACATATCATGTGCGGTCCTTTACCTTGCACTATTAAACATAAATGTCATATAGATCAGTTGACCCTCAAGGATTTTTATGCTGGTTATAATGATGATGATGATGATGATGATGATGATGAGTTCTATTGTGATGCTTGTGAGCAACGAAGCGATCCAAGACTTTGTGTTCATTATTGTGCACTAGGCTGCCCAATGGTTGTAGATGTTAAGTGTGTAATTTCTGAGGTAAAATGCTCATAATCTATGCATCTGTATCTATTACGACACTTTCGAAATGCTTTTTCTATCTGGAAATGTTGTTTTTTCAGGTTATAGCATCAGTAAGGGGAGAGCGTGGGAGATGTGGAATTGAGACTTGTGAATGATTTTATCAGAAAAAAATTTGCAGCACAAGCGATGGAGAAGAATGATGTTGCAAAAAGAGAGGAAAAGGTAGAATTCAAGTTTTTGCAGTCCTGGAAGGAAATATTTCACTCTTTAGAAAGTGAGATACGAGAAATTAAAGATATTAAAGCAAGTCTACCAAGAGAACTAAACAGCGAAGAGCCATCACTTAGAAACAGGAAAAGAGACGCTACTTCTATATATACAGAGAAAGCCTTCACAGAATTCATGCATAGTCTCCAATCTTGCTGCATTATAATTTGGCAACCAAGTCATTATTTGGAAAGAGAACGCGATATAGTCGCTGATAAAATGCTATTAAGATTGAACTCTGATATTGTAGATTTGATTGTAGGGGTTGATGATTTTGTTGCTGTTAGAGACTATTTTATCCCTCAGATTTACATTACCATTTTTGAAAAATTGGAAGCCAAATATGGAGATATCGGTGCCCATTCCACATTAAGTCCAAAAGTGAAGTCATTAGTTCTTAACATTGTCTGTAGTGTTATACTGGACTTGCGTGGAACTAAGGTTGTAGATATCAGTGAAGATGAACTTTGCCTGTGGTGGAGATGTATAAACTGGGTTAAGCTTGCTGGCTTCGACGTAGACTTCATTTGTGATCATTTAACGCGGATTGCGCACGCCTATTTTGGTCTGCAAGCTAGAAAGTTCATGAATGATACTAGAGTTAAACAGGATAAAGGAATTGAAAGGCTATCTAGAAAGATATTGCAACTGACAGAAGAATCAAGAACAACTAAACTCAAGTTAGAAGTAATCAAGAAACGACAAGAAGATCATCAAGTGTATGTGAAACATACAACGATGTTAATCAAACCATTTCTTGATGAAGCTTCAGAAATGAAATGGAAACCTGCTGCTGATGGTTTGCTGTAATTAGTTAATGTGAAATGCAGATAAAAAGAATAAATTATTGGTATAGGCCATTGAATGAAATTTTATAGTAAAGATTAAATCATCAACCTTTAAGGGTATGTATGTTCAAGATTAAACGGAATAAATTATTGGTTCACTTTGTACATGATTGTTAATGAAAAAAAGTCTCAATCTTGCAATCACAATATTGAGCCATGTGCCCACGCCTAAGGCACCATCGTCATTTCATTATTACCAGAACATCCACCTGTCTGTTCAAGAGCTGGTGAATTCTGACTTCCAATCTTAAATGCAGAGAGACAGCCTCAGATCATCTAGCAGTTCTCATACCTCATCCTTCACTCTCTGAGCCATATGTAACCCTAAGTCGCTCTTGCAGGTAATCTCCGCTACAAATTGGAGGAAATCTGCAAATGGAACCCTAAAAATGTTATCCCCATTTTTAATCATCCAAAATTACAGTAACACTACTAACTTTAGCTTGTATTTCAAAATTCTTAATGCTAACAGAACTTGTAATGCTGTCATCAGGTTGAAGGACATCATAGTACTTCTAAAATTATGGAGGTAACACCAGCATATAAAAAGAGGTAACAAAAGTAGGGTGCAGAATTTACCAGCTAAACCAGGGAGCACAAGTTTTCAGAAAGTTATTTTCTGATTTGAACAGCTGCAAAGGAATGTCACTCGCAAAACATCTACTCAACTAATAATTAATTCCAACAAGTTGGGATGGACTATATGGATCCTTTTCCTCCATTGCATCTAGTCGAGAACTATATCTCACTAGTAAAACATCTATTAAGCAAAGAAGTATGATATAAATGGCCTATGAGTCAACTGTCATATGTATATTTATAAAGCAAGCCACAAACATTCTCATGAACTTTTCCGTGACTTCTATGATTGAAATTCGAAATCTGCCAAATTTACAAGTACCATGTTGACAAAACCACCAAGAGACAAAAAAATAACAAGCCAAATGGATTGAGAAATACCTTTGGGGAAAGGATTCACTGCAACAACTCTCCAAACATTGTACAATGCAGTCTGGGTTAGGATCTAAGAAGAATGCCAACTGCAATGTTATAGCCAAAAACTGTCAATAATACATTAGGAATCTGCTGATGAAAAAGAACTGAATAGCATATCCAAACATTCTTTCAGAAAGAAATCAATTTGACAAGCCGGTCAAAGGCCACATATAGCATAGCATCCACATCATCTGAAAATATATGCTATGCCATGTGTTGATATTCTGTTTTTCCATTTTTTTTTTTTTGTATTCCAAACAAAAGAAAGATTGAGCCTCAGTTCTATGCGACAAATATTTCATTAAATCAAGTGTGCCGAATATGACATGTGATAAGCTTTCAATCCCTACATCAATCAGCAAAATAGGGACTTGAAACTTATGATCTGCACAAGGGTATTTTGTTGTCAACCGATGCAGGTTGAACTCACAGGCCTAAGTTAAGTAAGTTTAAACCACTAGAAGTATAACTAGACAAAACAAAAAGGTACATAGATATAAGTAGGTAATTACAGAGTAGCGTTCTTGTCCCGTTGGCATCACTCTGTGTAGTGTGGACCTACAAATAATAGACACAACACAAATTTGGAAATTAAAAATGCGACAGCAGAGAAATACACCAAAGGAACAACTTTACCAATGTATTTATTTACACAAGTGTAATAGCTTTTTACGAGCATCAAATAATCTTCCAATAGAAATAACCAAATAAGACTAGTAATTACCGAAACAAACAATTAGTCCACCTCTCAGTCATGTCCCCAATGTTAACTATGAAAGCCCTGCAAGTTCAAATTTTGAGAGCCAAGATTGATAAGTATTGTCATGCAAATCAAACTGTGCTGGTAGAAAATAAAATGAAAACCATCACTTGTAGATAGCCACCAAAACTATCGAAATTCATTCAATAGAAATTCATAGACGTCATTCACAATCCAAATTCATTCTTACATAATACACTGGTTGACATTGTAACTTGATAAGACAGTCCATATCCAAGTTTTATCATATGCATTCTGAACAAACTAATGACAGTCGATATTCTTATCCTAAATTATATTTTTACATAAATATGAAATTGCCAATTTGCCACTGAAAACTTACCCAGGCATATGTGACACATTTTCCCAGATACGTGGTTCCTTGAACTTTTCCCTGCAAACCTGTTATCAATGAGAACCAAATCAGATGTCATGGCAACTTAAATCATGAAGGGAAACTGTTAAGTATCAGAAAACTATGGGGAGAGAGAAAGAGAGAGAGAGAAAAGACTAAACAAATATGCACATGCCTGAAGTCCAGGCACACCATCAGTTGCCAAAAGAGTGATCATTCCATAGTCTGAATGTGCTGAAGCACCAAATATTTCTTCCTCAGGATTCCCCAGGTCACCTGAGATTACAGAAATTCCTTGTAAAATGACTGGTCCAAAAGTCTGTCTTAATTAGAGAAATGTTCACCACAACTAGGGTGAATTTAATAATATATCTCATTCGGTCCTGATACCAAACAATATTGGTCCTAGTTTAGATCATAACTTTGGAAGTTCCCACATTGTAGAATTGTAGACAAGAAAATGATAAGGTAGCTTGGGATGAGATCATGAGACAAACAGTGTCTTCCCAATTCTAGAAGTTTTAGCAAAATCTGTGTTGCATTTACAATCAAGATTGAATATGATCATTGTCATAGAATAATGAATTCCTCTCCTTAGAAAACTCACAGAGGTGGCATGTTGTCTAAAATTATTTCAAAAAAATTCTAGATTTTTTCAAAAAATAAAAAAACCGACCATAAATAAACTGCATCACTATTGAATAACTGTAGTCTGTTATCCAACTAAAGCCTTCCTTGCAATCCAGAAAGGCTGTTGAATTATTTCAAGAAGGTAAGTAGACATAAGGAAGCCAAATTAAGCCCACCTGGATAATGTAAGAGTCGAAGGAAGCCCTGTGGGTTGTCCAAAGCTCCCACTTTTTCAAAGTAATGTTCATCCAAGTTCAGAGCCAAAGCAATCAAAGAAACTAGTCTTTTTGCAGCAGACCTGAGATAGCATTTAACATCAAATAGGAAAAATTAATGTCTAACTATTCTCAGTCTGAAATTGTCTAGCGTGCAGGTTAAGAGCATGCATGAAGAATGAAGATACCACAAATATAACAACCCACTCAAAAGCTATTTGTGCCTAGGAATACGACTGTCAATCATATAAAGAATCCCAAATAATATTCTCTTTCTCCTATGCATATTCCCTAGCAATCTATGATAAAGACATCAAATCCAATTTGAATTTCTCACTCACATGAAAATTTTTAAACAAACATGAGCAAGGCGGGATGCAGAATAGGAACTACCTGGTAATTAAAACTAAAATAAAAGGAACCTATAATAAGACAAATTACTGATACTCAATTTTTAAACCAGCTACAAACAAACTATCAACATGAAAAAAAAAAATACTTTGGGTTTTTAACTTACATAACTTTATTATAGTAAGCCTCCAATGTGAGTCTCCAAGATGGGAGATCTTCTGAAATTTCATAGCCAAAATTAACAACCTAAGTGAAGCTGAATCAAATTTTATATCTGATTACATATGCAAAACAAAGTGCATAATAAACATCTCCAACTAAAACGGTAGCCAGCAATGTCTCATACAACACCTTCAGAGGGCCACTGGTTGAGATTAGCATTTTTCTCTAAAGGACCAATGTAGAAGCCTTCTTTTGAGTCACCTGCTTCCATATCACCAAGAAGATGGTCAATTTTGTATTCCATTCTCAATTAGCATTATTCAACCTATAATTTAAAAAATAAATGACAAATAAAATGAAGTGCCTTTCATGTATACATGTAAAGTTTTCAAATTAATTACTTCATAGAATGAATAAGGAGAAACTGAAAACCTTTGGAACCGGAAGAAGGATCGAGATTCTCAGCGTGCAATGGCGTGTAACCTCTGTGTTCCTTGCGAGGCAATTTCATCTTCTCATCCAAAGGGAGGGAGAAGAATTTACTACTCTCTTCGAAGACTCTCGAAAGCAACTCTTCCTCGACTCCATGATTCACAAGGTAAAAGAAGCCATATTCCACACATGCCTGAGAAGAAATTCAATTCGACACAATACTGAGAAATTCCAACAACATGATATGCTGGAAGGAGGTTGAGGAGGAGGAGAGGGAAACCTGTCGAATTGAATTGGCGGTAGCGAAGCGATCGGGTGAAGAGAGGTCTATGACTGGAAGTTTGGCAGCTTCTGCCATCCTCAAATTGTATGGCTAACCGCCAGAAGTCAAGGAATTGCTACTGCTAAGCTTCGCTTAAGATGATGATTCAGTGATTGACTCAACGTTTGACCATCTATCAAAGAAGAAGAGTGCCGGGGCAATTTGGTCCTTTCGCCTTCCATTTGGCTATTTTTTTTATCTTTAAAATAATGCTCAATTTATCGCTTCAACAATACAGAGTTAATTCAAGAATGGTAGTCCAATTTTATTCTTTTATTTATAGTTATGAAATGTATACATATTATTATAATAAAATTTCATTGTTCGAAAAATATTTTAATTTTTATTTGGCAGCTGAGCAGTGAGCATCATCAACTAAAAAATTTTTCTGCAATAAATTTATGATATTTAAGAATTAAATTGAAATAAATTATAATATTGTCGAATTAAAAAAAATCAGTTAAAAAACATCCTTCAACTTCAAGGTAAGGTAACGTAACACGCTATCGAAACTGCAATTTTTTACCAGTAAATTACCAACCCACCCACCCAACGGTGCAAAATATACAATTAGGTCCCTGAATTTTTTGGAAAGTGAATTGATCCTTCACTTTCAATGCTTCCTCCAAAAGGACATCTGATGAAATTTTGTATAGACATATTAACAGTATATGCCAGTGATAAGGCATACAGCCACACAGCAACATAAATATTTTATATTTGTAATTGAGCAATGTCGAAAAACACAGATCGAGTTACAAATTGGTTGGAAACTAGCAAAAAGGGGAAAACTGATAAATGATGTGAATTACTAGATGCAAAAATGTATCTGAAAGCATGATTCCACCTTCGATCAACGAAGCAGCAAGAAGAAAAAGGAAGATTTTATCTGAATCTCAGTCTGCAACTATGAATCAGATTATGGGTATGCTTATATATACCCTCTCATTGGAACATGTAAGCTTTAGCAGTTGATCCCTCTTAACCAACAAAACTTGTGGCTTTCTTCACTGCTTACTCCTGCTGTTTAGGGCTCCCATTTATATTGAGGAGCGATCATAGATGGTCAAAGGAATTAATTGTCTGCAGAACCAATAATGGTAATCATCTTCTAGCAACCCTGGTTCTCCGAGTTCTTCTTCCTGGAGTGGTATAGGTAGCTACTCCAACAGCTCTCTCCAGATTATGCTCCTCTTCATCGCTGGACTCATCAGACCTCCATCTTGATACACCATTCACATTTACATCATCGATAGGAAAATCCCTCTCTTGACCACTGAAATGCCAGGAGAAGATCAATAAAAACATAAAACGAGGGGGGGGGGGGGGGTTTCTGCAAAAATTTTATGATATTTAAAAGAATTTAAAAAATTGAAATAAATTATAACTTATTGTCAAATATGATAAAATATAATACTCAGTTAAAAAAACATCCATTCAACTGTCAAGGGTGGTATAGTTTTTTTGATTTGAATTTATTCTTTTTTGGTTTATACGTAGACTAGCGGCTTTATTTACGAAGATTATACTGAGCAATTTTTTTTTTTTTACGCAGTATGGATATTGACCAAGTCTCTCACATCGCGACCCAAACGGTTTTGCTTTTAAATTATTTATCAATTATAGGTCCTTGCTGAATTTTTTGGAGATATTTGTGGAAGTGTCTTTGATCCTTTGCTTGCTTTCGAATGCGTTCCCTCACAAAAGCGACATTCTGATGAATATTTTTATAGACATATTAACAGGTATTATTGCCAGTGATAGGCATACGCACACAGGCAACATAATATTTTATATTGTTAATTGAGCAATGTTCGAAAAACCACCAGATCGAGTTACAAATTGGTTGGAAACTAGCAAAAAGGGGAAAACTGATAAATGATAGTGAAATTTTGTTGTTTTGTTTACTAGATATGACAAAAAATGTATCTGAAGAGGCTAATGTATTCCACTCCTTGGTACGTTGCAACGAGATTGTTTGAAGCAGCAGCAAGAAGAAAAAGTAAATTTTTATTATACTGAGAGAATCCTTCAGATTCATTTGTGCATACTGATGAAAGATCAGATTAATGTTGGATGGCGTTATGCTAGTATATACCCTCTCATGTGAAGAACATGTAAGCTGGTCTAGAGATGATTGATCACCTCTGTAACCAATCGACAAAGAATTACTTGTTGGAACTCTTTCTTTTCATCTATGGTTTGACTCCTTGCTGTTTAGGGCTCCTCCCCATTTTATAATGAGGAGCGAAATCATAGAAGGAATGGTCAAGAGGGGAATAAGTTGTCTGCAGAACGGAATTATTGGTAATCATCTTCTAAGCAACCCTGGTTCTCCGAGTTCTTCTTCCTGAGTTGGGTATTAGTATGGCGCTACATTTACCAACAAGCTGGTCTACTCCAGATTTGGATGCTCCTGTACTTCAATACGCTTGGAGCGTCACAGACCTCCATTCCTTGATATACTACCATTCTACTATATTTACAGTGTACATCGATAGGGATATAGAAATTACCCTCTCTTGAGTGCGCACTTATAATTTGCCAGTGTGTGAGAAGATCAATAAATAAAATCAAACACGAGGGAGGGGGGATACGGTTGGAAAGGCGGAAGCTATATAAAGCCTTGATAATTTATTATTATATACATTATAATAAGGTGGTGGGATATACTATCCAAATTGTTTTAAATAAAATTAAGTCTTTTCTATCTTTTTTTACCTTTTAATGAATACATAGTTCCATTATCTCCGTTGTATATTTCAATAATTCAAAAGATATCCTATTCATTATTGATCGTGATATATTGAATATGACTTCATTTTACTTAGATAGGCTTAGTAATGTGGAGATCATCAGGTAAAAGCGACGACTGCTGAAGCAGACAGTGAAGCATGTGTATATGTGTAGCTATTAACCTCTGTGTAAGACATTAGAGTGGGGGCATGTTTTTGGGAATTGCTCAGCAAAGCCATTTTGTTCCATTTCGGTTAAGACACTATCAAATTGATTCTGAAGCGTATAGTGGTGAAGAATTTGCAAGAAAGACTACTTTAATTAGAAGATTAGTTCTTGTTTGATACTCTTGTTGTGAAATGGTTTGTTTTCCTTTTTCGGTCCGGCACTCATGGTTTTTTTTTCTACAACAACGAGGGATTTCCATGGAAGCTGGTGGTTGTTTTTCTATCTTAGTTACGTAACCTTCTATATCAGTGTGGTCTTGATATTTTGTATGGCTTCGGTGTTTTTCCTTTTTTCCCTTTTTTTTTTTTTTCTTTGGGGTGGATCATTTTTATATTAAAATACCTAATTTCATGTTCGAGAGAGATTTGGATGGGGTGAGTCTTCTATTTTGAGAATAATAACCAATTGGTTTCAATATATTAGTTTTGTGGGGGGGGGGGGGTGGAAGGGGAAGCAATAAAGCCTTGAAATATAATAACAATAATAAGGTGGGTGGAACACCAAATTGTTAATAAATTTCTACTTACCTTGAACCAATGTCCATTGTATCTCCGGAATTCATATTCAAAGATCCATCATATGATCTATAAATATGACTTCTTTTACTAGATAGCTGAGTGGAATCATCAGGAAAGCCGCGACTGCTAGCAGACAGAGCATTTATGTTAGCTTTAACCTTGTGGAAATAGTTGGGGGGCATGTTTTGGAATTGCTCAGCAAAGCCATTTTGTTCCATTTCTGGTAAGACACTATCAAATTGATTCTGAAGCAGGTGGTTTTCAAGAAGCACTTTAGAAGTAGTTCTGTTGATATCTTTTAATGGCGTGGCACTCATGGGACTAACACGAGGAATTCCAGGAGCTGGGGTTTCATCATACTTAACATTCTTATCAGTGCTAATTTGTGGCTTCGGTCCTTTTCCTTCATTTATAAAAAACCTTTCATGGAAAATTGATGGAGAGCCATGGTTACCAAGTTCAAAATGAGGTTTGCTGAAAGATCCAACAAGTCTCGTTGGAGTTTCAAGAACTGATGATATAATCGGAGTGATATGGTTTGTCTGAAGCACAATTGAAGAATCAGTAGACGAGGGAATCAATAAACTGCTTGAATTTGGCTGTTGTATCCCAGCAAGATCAGATTTTGCCGGTGTTTTATCTTGCTTGCCAGAAATATTATAAATCTCAGGCAGCAGTTTTCCAGTCTTTGCTTGCTGCTGTTGGACTTGTGGTAGCAACTCAATGGATTTAGCCTGGTTAAAGCACAAAAATTTCAGACATGTTATTCTAATTTATGCTCTTTTTCAAATAGAGTTGTTGCAATATATAACAAGCATTTTCCTACAAGTCTCTAGAACTTACAACAAGTCCTGTTCTCCAATTACTAGCAGACCTCATTCTAGATAAAACTTCCTCACTAACAGTGTTCTTTGAAATGAAATCCTGTTCCACACTCTGAAGCCTGAGATCAACTTGGCATGCCTCAGCATATCGGTAGCGCTGGAACATTGTTTAAAATTACAAGATCACATGTTACAAGGTAATCCATGAGTAAGAACTTAAAAGAACAAAACATAGAACATTGTTCTAACAAGCAATGGTATTTGTCTAGATTGAGCAGCAAGTAATATAAAATTAAAGAATAAACTGAGAATGCAAACTGCATTTAGAAATGGCAGTGTGTAAAAGCAAAAACATCATTCAAACAATGACAGCAGCAACTCCTTCCAGAAATCTTATCTTTGTCAAGCTACACAATGCTAGCTGGGACAGAAGCCTGAATAAACACTAGCATTACTGTAGGATTTCGAAATAAAGATCAAGTAAAAAAACAAAAATGAGATCTACTGTTACATCTTTACTTTTATTCATGTTACTTTTTTTTCAACATAACTACTGTGTACACTCTAGCATCAGATATTTCAGCTCCTCTCACCAAGTTAAAATTTTCGTTCATATATGGTTCATCTGAATTAGCAATCATGTCAAATGCTGATTCCTTCATGACTCAATCACCTCACAACGATGATGCTCTGAATAAACATCTGTTTTATATTTTTTTAGTCTAATGACACAGATCTATGCATAAATCATCCGATTACATGTTGAGAACAGTATATGCATCTCTTTATCAAACTAACAGAAGGAGAGTATTTTGATAGCAAAAGCTTCTTATATGAAAAAGCAACATTTCTATTGCCACTTCATATCACGCATATGTCACCAATGACAATTCATTTTGATTACAAATAAACGTGTGAAAAAAAAAAAATAGAACATCACACGAAGAAAACCTTAAAATCTATCATTTTAAGACATCTGTAATGTGAAGACAACGTAATGACAATCAGTAACAACACAGGCAATATTGTTACTCGACTACAGCAACATGCCATTTTAACATGAAACAAGAACTGTTATCAAATTTAGGAGTCAATATAATTAAGACAAAAGGCGAAATTACTATCTGCAACGCATTTCACATAAAGATACTGTTATAATCAACACCATCAGTCCTTTTAGTACATTGTAATTCATATTCACCCATATCAGTCATCACCTAAGTCATGACAATCACCATTTCTTTTCCAAAGTAGAACTCAGAAATAAAAGCACATAACAAGGAATTTCACTTGAACCAGACTCAAAATAATCTACGCCTAGAGTTAGAAATTACCTGCAGGTAAAATACAACAAGAAGACTTCCAGTGGTTGTTGAAGGGTCATGGATTGCACATTCTAAAAGGCATTTATGGATATATTTCTCTTCATCTAAATTCCAAGGCAACTCTATCATCCGGTCCACCAATTTGCTTTTGATGCAAAGACAGCAAATTTCAGTCACCAGTACCTCCACCCAGTCCTCCCAACTCCTGCATTCACCTTTTAAGTGATTGGAAGAATCATCAGGCAGTCCATCCCTCCACTTCTTTTCCCTGACTTTGGCGCACAGCATTCTTTGATGCATAAAAGCTTCTGTCAAAAGTCCACACTCAACCCTCACCCGAACAGCAGTGACAGCCTCATTAAGCGAAACCATTTGTGATCCGTCACGTCCAGACCACCGTAAGACCATCAGAGCTACTTCAGGTGCTTCCCTTTCTAACAGCACTTGAGCAATTTTAGGGTGAGTTGATTGGCCTGAGATCTCTGGAAGCAGGTGACAAGCTTCCTAAGCAATATAATGTTTTTGAAGAATGATCAGCATATAAAACTGAAACCACAAATAATAATGCTCTAAGAAGAATAAAAAGGGTTTCAGCAATCACACCTAGAATGTAGATAAACATACTTAAAATTCTTCATTCAAAATTCTATGCCAGTATGACACATTGAACAGTGTGAATGTTTTCCCTTTGCATAATGTATAGTCATATGATTCCTTATTGATTTTTCCTCATTAAAGAAAAAATAGAAACTATGACTTTCTCCAACTGGAGCTTTACCAGTTAGAAATTGCATTACTGACAATTTTCGTATAATTTGTTTATCTTCTACCATGGATCATTATCTATAACTAAACTAGACTTAAAAATATAGCCGATTTGATTGCTTCTAACTTTAACAAAGCATACTTTTTAACTTCTAAATGAAAATTCAGTTCAAAACTGAAAATGCTTGTACTCAAGCAGCACAACTTCATATGCAAGGCAAGAAATAAGGTGCAGTAACTACAACAGGTAGTATGCCATTTAATTGCTACTCCCTAAAATGCCTCCTGTAGATGTGTATGTGGTTTGCAAAAAGAGGGAGGAAAAAAAGATGCCCGCGCATCTACCAAAAACAGTAGCTTGACACATGTTATTTAACAGTGCAGATGCTGTCTTGATCAAAATCAAAAGTGGATCAACTTCAATTATTAAACATCAGCATAATTATTCAGTTACCTTTAGAGTTTCATCAGTATGGTCATCTAGAAGATAAAAGGCAAGTGATTCAAGCAAGGCATGCCTAGTTATACCAAATGTAGCTGCAAAATCATCCACAATGTGCCTCCAACAATCATCTGGCATCGTCCAATGCCGATCAAAAAAGTAATAAAGTAACTAATACTATGTTGAAGAAACAAAAGGGAATAAAAAGTTGTGCAAACTGGCAATGCATGCAAACTTCAGAATGTATGTGCACATATATATCAAAATTAAAAAGTTAAAATTAAAAATAAAAAAAAAAAATAAATAAATAAAAAAAAAAAAAAAAAAAAAGTTAAAATTTAAAAATAAAAAAAAAAAAATAAAATAAATAAAAAAAAAAAAAAAAAAGCAGAGGGAAGAAAAAAATAAAAAAAAAAAAAAAAAAAGCAGAGGAAGGATACAATCGCTTGCTTTGCAACCACCAAATCAGAGCTCCCATGTAAAAAGAGTACATCAACAGCTGCTCGAAGACTTTCAAACGGATAACACCCTGCCACCCCCTCTATTTTAGACCTAAAAAATGATCCACGATCTTTCTGTAAAGATGCAAGTTCTAATTCCTCCCCTATCTCCTGCACATATCCTTGCTCTATCTCGAGATTTGCCAAAGCATCTTCAATGAACAAGGAACCAGTTTGCATAATGGACTCAGCAGATTGATTTGCTGCATCAGGCCATGAACGTGTTATTGCAGCTGCTTTCCTTTCACGAACTACAGAACGCCATGAGTTAAAATCAGCATGACGTGACTTCACATTTTCCAAAAATTGTTGTCGTATACACCATTTCATAATCTCCAAATGCTAGGAAATAAAAAAAGAACAATCACCAAGAAATAGTTATAATCACAAGCAGAAAAATGACATTAACAATTTATGGTTTCAGTCTTGAGAAAACCATTTTGAGTTCAATCAAATTCATGAAAAGCTAAAATTATTAGCACGTTGTCAAATAATGACCAATGATGTAAAGGATAACTCTAAACCCCATATGCTGTAATTTCTAGCTTAGGCATCTCAAAGGTTGAGCTTTTTTGAACTTCAAATCACGACTTTGTTAAGATTACAAGTACTAACGGTGAATATCAAACGCTATTCAAAAAGCAAATTATCACAATAATAGATAGAACAAATGAATGAGATGTATGCTAAATACAATAATTAAACTATGAATTTAAAAATAAACAAACCTAAAAAGAAACAGTAGAGATAAAGCATTCAGTCAACTTGAACTTTAAGCAATCAAACCTGCTTTGTCTTTAAAATGGTTTCCTGAAGGAGCTGTAAGTCATGAAGCTGGGCTGAAAGATTACCCTTAAATGATGAATCCAAAACTTCAAGTACATCAGACAATCCAGCTAAATGCACTGAAAGCTTAACGAGACAATTTAACCTGGTTTTCATTTCTTCTTCTTGAAGATTATCTAACAAAAGTGTTAAGCTGATTACAGTGAGCTGGTCATAGGAAGAATATAAACAATTAACAGAAAGCAATAACGTTTAAAATATCAAATCATATAAGTTAAAAGGATACAGATTGCTTCAAGCTGTAATACAATGCTTCTGAAGGTCCACTTGCACCAATCCTTCACAACCACTTCATCCAACAAGAAAGCAATGACAGGATTGCTAGACACAGCGCTTTCATCCATACATACATCTGTTACGTCTGTTAAACTTTAGTTAAGGATATTATTAACTTTGAGAAATGAAACTACATTTCCATGAATTAAATTCTACAAAGTTCTTCTTTTATCCTTTTTCATATTTTTCTCTGTGACATGCAAGCATATTTCTATCAAGAATGTGTGCACAGGCAATGTCACAATAATTTTACTAGAACCGAGCATCCCTCTCACTGTTGTTTAGTTTGTTCAAATCTTTCTGCTACACTTAAAGCAGTTATATGAGTAAGATTTCGTTTACGATATCACAAAGTGAAGTAAATTCATCAAGGCTCAAATTGAAGAAATAGAGATGCACTAAGAGGATACAGTGGCAAATCAAAGAAACCAAGTTATTTTCCAAGGCTACATCAAATAAAGAATAAAGGCGCTGTACATCAGCCGTCAATTGATTGTCCCCATCTTCTTTCTCTTGAAATCTTTCATCACACTTTTTGGAAATAAGGCCAGCCTGTATGCACTCATAATAAAGGCGAAGCCAGAGCCTATTGCTGTTCTTAGGGATGGGAATTCTACAAATTGGACAAAGATCACACCGCTGACTGCATTCTGAACATAAGGACGCATGCCCACATGAGACTATTACATTCTCTACGTATCTTCCACAGCTTCTCAAATCTCTAGTTGCCCGACAACGCTCAACTTTTGCTTCACTGCACAACTCAATTAAATCAACAGATGCCAAGTGTTCCAAAGCTTCCTGAAATCGGGATTAGAAGCACCACATAATTTTACCACAAAACAAGCTACTGGTCAAGTCACCATTTCACCAAGAAATTTATTAATATTTCAACTACTCAAGTGTGAAAAATCAAATTTCAAACAGTTAATATTCACATTTCCAATACTTAAGAGAATCGTGAAAAGTCCATAGTCTGCATATATAAGAGAAACTAGAATTCCTCGTGAATTTTTTCACTCTAATAACAAGGTATAACGAGAATTGCAAGAATGATTAATTCATTAAGACGATACTTATCCTAAAACCCAAAAAGCACAGTGAGAGCTAGGGATTTTAGTGGTTTTAGAAATTAGCTTATTTGTTAAATGTGAAAAGCATTATGGCTTACGTACTTGAACAGCCCGGCTACTGTAGTTGGGTTGTAGAGTTAGAGCAGTGAATCTAGCAGTGCTGCCGCGATCGGCGAGGGAAGACGGTGAAATCCGACCGTTGAGATGGTTTCGAAACTCCATTTCTCTTGAAATCTAGAAGAAAATGGTTTCCAAAATGTTAATAAAGAAGCAAAGCAGCGCGGGCCGCGAGTGAAAAAAGAGGAGGTAGATTTTAGGGCTTAAAACTTAAAACAGAACGGCGAACGGTGGTGCTACAGGGGCAGCGAGCCAGCGACAGCGAGAAACAAGAGAATTCAAAATTAGAATTTTTGGAAATGCGTTTGCGTCGGCAATCGCGGGATCAGAATTGATGGGTCGGGTTGGGGCCGGTAGAGTATACCTTGGGCTTAATCAATAGTTGAGCTAGCCCATCCCACTTGATCGTATATGTGCCGACTGGGTATCAAACTTCAATTTTCCGAATGATATAATAGCTGTCGTTCTAATAAACAACAGCTGTTTGCTCAAAAAAAGTTAAAAATAAACAACAGCTACCGCTACCTCCGACATCGTTTTACTCTTTAGTACTCTCTTTCTGTTCTGGCATTGTAAGCGGAAAGAATAAATGCTAAGTTTAAGATATGAATTATTATTAAATATTTAATTGATTTAAATTTTTCTTTTAAATTAAGATATATATTTTGAGCTTATATGAAATAATAAAGTTTCACTTTTTTAAATAAAAAAATATTTAAAAGTTCAAAAAAATAATCACGTTGTCAAACGTGAAAAAGAAATCAAAAAAAAAAAATTTTCAATTTTCACATTTTACTAATTTTTTAATTGCTGAATTTTTGAATATCTTTTATTTCAAGTATCTTTATATTTTATTATTTATTTATAAACAGTGGGTAATTTAATCATAAACTCATAATTGATCATACGGTATCTAAAATCCATTAACTCAATTATTCCAAAAATCATATTTTGCAAACCTTAAAAAAAAAAAAAAAAAAAAAAAACAGCGTGAATGGCTGCTGGAGTGGAAAAAAGAATGGAGGTGAGAATTTAGGACGTTTATAATACTTCTAAAACAGAACGGATGCTGAACGGTGGGTTGCGTTTTACTAGGAAGCGTAGCGGAGTCTGCAGCGACAGCGGAGAAACAAGAGAATTCAAAATAGAATTTTTGGGAAATTGCGGTTATCTGAAGTAATTATGTTGGCGTCGGCAATCGCGGGATCAGAAATTGATGTCGGGGTTAGGGCTCGGTAGAAGTTATACTCTAATTTAGGGTCTTGAATCAATAGTTGAAGCATTAGCCCATTCCCACTTATGTATCGGTATAGGTGTGCCGTACGTGTATGAGACGTTTATCAAAACTTCAATTTTCCGATAATGTAAGGTTATAATAGCTGTCGTTCTAATAAACAACAAAGCGGTGGTTTTGTCTCTTAAAAAAGTTAAAATATTTATTATACAACAGCTACGCGCTATGTATCTGGTCATCCCGAACAATTTACGTTTACTCTTTAGTACTTGCTCTTTCTGTTCTGCATTGTAAGCGGAAAGGGAATAATAATTGTGCCGTAAGTTAATTTAGAGATTTATTGAATTATTAGTTTATTGAATAATTTATTATATGAGAGCTTATAAATTATTTCTTTATATTTAGATTTATATATGATGTATAGTTATATTTTTAGAGTCATGTATATAAGATGAAGATTAAAGTTTCACTTTTTTTTTAAATAATAAAAATTAAGTGTTTAAATGAGTTTCATATTAAAAATATATCACGTTGTCACAACTGTTTGTAGAAAAGAAGTAATCTAATATATAAAAAGAAAATTTTCAATTTTTACATTGCATTTTTACTTAAATTGTGTTAAAATATGGTTGACTGAATTTTTTGAAATATTCTTTTATTATCATTGAATGTTAATCAATAATATAAATTTGTATTATTGTAAGATTTTTTTAAATAATAACAGTGGTAATTTAATCAGTATAACTCAATTATTGTATCTATTGGTACTGTTGGTTGGATGGTATCTAAAATCCATTAACTCAATTATTCCAAAAAAATCATATTTTGGCAGAACCTTTTTAAAAATAAAAAAAAATAAACAAGGAAAAAGGAGGTCAGCTCATTCACTCTCTATTTAACTAGAGACTTCATATATATTGATATAGACTTTTGATATATGTAGCGAATATCTTGGGGTTTTAACTTAGACGAAGGATGTAAAGAAAGGAATGTGAGATGTTTATTTTTGATATTTATAGTGTAAATCGTGTTCTGGATTATTCAAGACAATAACATATATCTTTATGGTATTTTATTATAAAATACTAAATGTAGATTATGAAGAGTGATAACGCATATATAAGTAAGTTAGTCCATAAATTATTAATATTGGGGCAATAAATAAGGTTAAGCCACAGGTAAGGACATTATATTACATGAAGTCCTTAGCAATATCAGCTACTTGAGAATATATTATTTATTGAGTTGCATATTGTTTCGCCGGCAATTCAAATACCTAGTAATGTTATTGAATGTATTATAGTAATTGATTTTCTAATTAAATAATTGTCTTGAAATTTTGAGTATCCTAATGCTTACTGTTGAGAAAATTTAATAATCAATTTTTAGTATAACGTTGACTTGTGGAGTTTTTCATTTTTATGCCATGGGCAATCATAAAAAAAAAAAAAAAAAAAAAAAAGCAGCTCTTCCTCTATTTAAAGAGACTTCATATTAAGACTTGAATTCGAAATCTTGGTTAAAGACGAAGGAAGAAAGGAATGAGATTTATTTTAATTATGTAAACGTGGTTATTCAAACAAAACAAATCTATATTTTATTAAAATAAATAATTATGATACGCATTAATAATTAGCCAAAATAAAATGCAATAAATGTAGCCCATAAGGCATAACATGAGCCAGCAGTAAGCACTGAAAATTTTAGTTGCAATGTCGCTATCTAAATAGTTGTTTTTATAGTAATTTTGCTAATAAAAATCTGAAATTTATTTCCTAATCACTTGAGAAATATCAATTTGATAACTTGATTGGATTTTCATTTACATGGCATCATTAGCACTACTGTAGTATGATCAAGATAGACATTAAAATATCACTTCATCTTTTTCTAGTGGATGTACCACATACATAAAATTAATAATGATACTGATTTCCTAATATCACTCTTGGCTTTTCTTTAAAAAAAAAAAATCACTCTTAACAATTTATTTTTCAAGCAATAAAATATTGTAGTTGAAATTTAAAAATAAATTAAAGCATTTCTTATGATGAGAAAACAAATATTTAATTATTATTATTGCAGAAGATAAATATATTATGACGAGTAGGGTTAGACTAGTTTTCTACCAATTTTGCATATAAATTATTGCTTTTTTTATTTTAGTTGCTGACTATTGGTTAAAATTAATAAATATGTTTAATAAATTAATAAAATAATAAAAAAAACAATATAGAAAAAAGTAACATATGGAGTCTAACAAATAGAATATAAAAAAGTCAAAGAATTTACATAGTATTTGTTTTTTTTTTAAATAAGTATCTGTTTTTTTTTATTAATTAGGAGGTTTAATAGAAAGAATGGATATTATTCATTAAACTCCTATATTCGTAAGCATGAAAATTAATTTTTAATCCATATAAGGGTGTTGTTAATATGACTGAATTTAAAAAAAAAATAAAATATATATATATATATTACTCTAATTGAATTAATGTTATACAAAATAAATTGCAGTTCCTTGCAGCACTGATGTCAAAATCCGTTGAAAGGCAAAACTGCGACGGTGATTGATAATCACGCCAGCGGATGGTGGGTCCCAGAGAGTGGGACCTCCACTTCTAAATACATGCCACGCTAGTCACTGCATTGCCAAATAAGCTAACAATGATCTACACGGACAACCATTATAGATCATGGTAACGCGTACATATACAGCAAGAGAGTATACACATACGTAACCGTACTCTTACCGACCAGATTCGCGGTCTCCACACTATTATGACTGAATCAAACGGTGAATATACAACCATTTTTACACGACACGAAACCTGACGTTTTCGGTATATATAAGCCAAAACGTGCTAGAAAATAAGAAGACGGCGATAAACTTATTCCCTTCGGAAAACAACTCGCAGTAAAATAATTTATTAAAAATATTGTTATAGAAATATTTTTTAAATAATTTATTTTCTATTATTTAATTATAATATTAAAAATATTAAAATATCTACCTCATAAGAAAAAAAAAATATTAATAATAAAAATTTTATTGTTAAATACGAGAAGAATGCAAAAAAAAAAAAAATATTGTTAAAGCTGCCGTGACTGTGGTGGTAACCGGTGGTGGTGGTCGGTGGTAAATTATAATTGGTGGTAGTGACTACGACGATTAATAAATTAAAAAAATATAAATTTATAAAATTTATTAATATTCAAAAAATGTTTTACTCTCTAAAAATGGAAAGTTATTTTCCTTAAAAAATATTTTTTTTTTACTAGAAAAATATTCGATTGACCTATTTTCCTAAACGCCCAACTAATGAAAAATTGTGAAAAATATTTTTCTGTAAATTATTTTATAGAAACAAATGGAGTCTTATTATATCAGAAAATGTATGTGACATCCTACCAAGTCGAGTCGAGTCAAGTCGAGTTGAACCAAACCCGGTTGGGGTAGAATGAGTTTATAAGTGGACTTACTTGATTGAGAGAAAAAGGTAGAATGAGTTTAATTAAGTGGAGCTTACGTTGATTGAGAGAAAAGATCAAAGTTATAAGGGTTAGGATTATTTGCCATTAAAATAATCAAGCTTGGGTATTAAGTTATAGCCTTTTGCCAATTGCAGGTTTACCATTTAGGAAAGTTTTCACATAAATCCCTTGATATTTTGATTGGCCAACCGTGATATCTTTTCGACTTTCCCATTTTCATCTTATCTTCATCTCTTCATCTTCCTTTTCCTTTCTCCATCCATTTTTATGGTATAAGTTTAAGGCAAACCTCAATGTTTCTCCAAGTAAGTAGAATTTCTTGAAGCTTTATAATTAATTCAACCTCTAATTGAAGCTATATTGCTAGATAAGTTTATAAGAATCTGATGTGTATAGGAGAAGGGAGTTCAAAGATTGTTAGAAAAAGGAAGGTAAAGAAAGAGCCAAAGCTTTGTGGAGTGGAAGGTTTGATATTCTCTTTTCATTACCATTTTCTTTGCATGAGGAATTTTGTGTGGTGTGTTTGATAATGAAGGACAATCTATTGCTTTCATGTTTGAGTTGGAGGACTGGAGTGGGAGGACTGGAAATGGTGAGAAAACAGGGGAGGAATTGAATATATGAAGGCAATATTGAGTTTATGCTGAAACAGGTTTTGCTAGAAAGGAACCAGTGACTTCACTTTGATTTTGACCTTATTTAATGATGGAATTAGGAAGTGTTATAGAAGAGTTATTTGTTCCTCTATGTGTTAGCGTTACATGGGTTTTTGATAAGAAAGAAATGCTTGAATTATATTTTCCATTGCGCTAGAAAATCATGGAGAAAAACCTCCATTAATCTGTACAGAATATTTTTATGGTCAATATCGGTAGATTCTTTTTACCATCTTTACTTTACATCGGTTCGTCGAGTTAGATTGATTAGAAACAAATAAACACCTCTAATGCCACGGTTTTCTAGAACAAGATTATTCTTAAAATAGATTAATCTTTTCTGTTTGGTCCACTTCCTTGATTCCTAATGCATGTCCCAGCTCATTTAAGCCCATTTTGGACAAATCAACAAGTTATAACGGCTCACTACTACAAAAATTTTCTCACACCAAAACCCAAAGAGAGTATGGGCGATCTTTCCTAAAGGAACTTGAACATTTACCCTAAAAAAAAAAAAAAAAAAAAACTTCATGTTTAAAAAAAAAGACAACATTATGAACATGTATCAAAACAACATGCAAGCATGCAAGATGAATATGAAATCAACATAAACATTATGATTTAAATTGAAGTTTATGCAACTATTAATATGATGTTGTGTTTATACTATTGACATACCAACATTATGCCTCCATTGAGGTTAGGTAGAAACGCATGTCCGATTGTCGTGACATAGGATAGCAGATCTGCACCCCATACAGTTCGATACTCCGGCTACAAGCCGTTGGCCGTTGAGTGGATATGATTATATACAGGCCATAGCAGCCAAGCACACAGTTTCATCCAGTTTCATACAGTTTTTCTTATCACTTCGGTTTCACTATAACCTTATGGAGCCATACAGATATCTTGACATAACATTTCTTGAATCATACAGTATTATAAACAGTAAGAAAGATCATCAAGGTAAAATGGAAGTAGCATGATATATGTGTTTATACGTGCCATATGTGTTTATATCCTTAAGTATCCATAGGTGTTTACATGGTTCTTTCTATATATGTATGTGCTTACTTGTTTCTTTATAAGTTGAGATATCCACTGAGCTTTATTGCTCAGCGTTTAACTCGCAGGTTTTAAGACTGGACCATAGACGAGTCAGCTTACAACTGCTGCAGTTCATCTGTTTAGAAGCGGACTCAGTCCTCAGGGTAGCTAACTCATTTGGATGTGTATCCCTTTTTGTCCTACCCTTTTTATGGCATGTAGCAGGGCACACAGTTGGGGCCCATTTCATTTTGAAACATAGGTATCAATGTCTTGTAAATATTAAGTACATTATTATGTAAACAACATCAGCAATGATATTATATTCAATGTACATTATGATATGCAGCCATACAGGATATAAGTCAATCCAGTTTGGTAGTCGTCTCGGTTCGGTTTCATTCGGGTTAAACAACATCAGCATGATATTATATTCAATGTACATTATGATATCAGCATGACAGGATATAAGTCAACCAGTTTGTAGCGTCTCGGTTCGGTTCATTCGGGTTTAAGGGTGGACCGGGAAGGGATGTTACAATGTAAATTCCTAATCCTCCAAAAATTCAAAATTAGATATATAATGATTTTTTAAATTAATACATACTACTGAAATCATATGTAAACTATGATCAAATTATGAAAGTCAACAACACTAATAATATATATTTGAATCTTTATTACAGTGGAAGACTTTTAATTTTTTTTTTTTTGAGAATTAGACTTTTAAATTTTTTGTTATTAAAAAATGTGTAATATTTTAAAATATAGAGTTGTTACTTTTATAAATTTAAAGTTTTCAAATAATACAAATAGAACTTGACATTTATCGTGAAAAGCATATATAAAATAAAATTATTATAACTAAAATAGAAGAGAGACTATCGTCAGAAGCAATAATCGTACCCTCCCATATTTATATGCTTGAATTTTGTGTTTTGATGGAGGAAAAAAAAAATTTAGTGAAGAAGAAGGAGAAAAGAGAGAGAGGCTAGATATTTTCTTTATATATTGATTTGATGTTTTTAATAAAATCATAATATATTGTAAATATAAAGTTTTGAGATTCTAAAATATAATTGAGTAACAAAATTTATAAATACTAAAGATTAAAACACAGTAAAAAATATATTACATAATCATGATATAGAATGTTGAATTAATAAATCTTGAAAAATGAGATTAAACAATTTTAAGACATTATTCAAAAAAAAAAAAATTGAAACATTTAAAAGTTTAAAACAAGTTTTGATTAATTGAATGTCAAATTAGATGTCAAAAATTAACATATAATTATTTATATTGATAGAATATAAAATTACAAATTCCATAGAATTTATGAAATATAAATTTATGGATTGTTGAATTAAAAGTCGTGATTATTGACACAATTTATCAATTTTATACACTACGATTTGTTTTTAATTTAAAAATTTACAAACTTTTGGAATATTCAAACCACCATCATTAAATTTTAGTATTCATATTATGTGGTAATAAACAAAACATTTGGAGAAATTTTGATTTTGGGCTTTATTGAAGCCCATTTTTATCCTATCAGAAACCAATTTAACGAAAGAGGAAAAAAAAAAAAAGAAAAAAAAAAAATTGAAATTTCAGCTTTTCGTAGAGAGCTAGAGTAACATATACTATACATCCCCATACATACATACACCTAGCACACGCATATGACTCCCCACCCTCTCCTCTTTCTCTCTCTCTTTCTTTCTCTCTTTCTTTCGTCCTCCTCTGCTCAACAAGACCATCGTCTGCTTCTCTCCTTCATTCTCTATCTTCCTCTAGGGTTTTTGTCTCTTTAACATTTTTAAGCTCCACTTAAAAGTCTGCACATATCTGTACATGTATATATAGGTTCTTATTTTAATGGCAACAGCTCCTGTTAAGCCGCAGCCGCTGCATAACTTCCCACTCTCCCTAAAATGGGGCCAGACCACTACACTCGCTGCCTCCACCAACCACCACCACCATCGTAGCACGTCTACACTTGCACCTGACTCGGAAACTGAATCAGACCCCGAACAAGCAACAATCCGGCATCTTCCTCCTCCTCGCGTCGGATCCCGCTCTGCTCGTTTACATCGGTACTCTTTTACCTCTTGCTCTACTCTTTTGCCAAAGCCTAAAAATCCATCGACAGAAGACCTGCAGAAACAGACGGCTTTATCGGAAACGGAAGTCGCAGAAAAGCAGCAGAAAAAAGGCTTGGTTTTGGAAAACCACCACGAAGTTGACGCTGAAGAAGAAGAAGAGGAAGAGGAGAAACGAAAACAAGAAGAGGAAGAAGGGAATTCGAGGCCATGGAAATTGAGGCCTAGAAGAGGGATTTTGGGTGGTAGGAATGGAGGAGAATTGAAAGAATCGGTGGTGCAGGGTAATGAGCAGAGGGAGAGAGAAAATACGCCGCAGCCTCAGCCGAAATCGATGAGGTTAAGAGGATTGGTAGAGTCTGCAGGGGGAAGCGGTGGAGTTTGTTTGGAGAAGAAGGAGAAGAGGAAGTTCTGGATAGCTTTGTCCAGAGAAGAGATTGAAGAGGATATTTTCGCTTTGACTGGGTCTAGGCCTGCTAGACGGCCCAAGAAACGACCAAAGAACGTACAGAAAGCACTTGATGTAAGTGATCTTGCATCTTTTTCTATATTTCATCTTTTGCTTTCTTTGTAGTTCTTTTATGGCTGTTAAATGAATTTGATATGTGATGCTTTTTTATGTGCTTTGTTGTTGCAGAATGTTTTTCCTGGATTGTGGTTGGTGGGAACTACAGCTGATTCTTATAGAGTCGCCGATCCTCCGGTCAAGGTATGTACATATAGTTGGCTGTACCTACACGTATAATCATATTTGAATTTCATGAGTTTGCTCCCTTTTTGCATGTTAGATTTTTCTTTGATCCCAAATATGCTTCATAGTTGGTTGGCTTCTGGCAACTACGATTCTCAGCTCATAGAATGTCTCTCTGTCCCGTTACTTGTTTAAATTATCTTGGAATTATTTTTCGTGGGTTTACTGAGAATTTGATAATTTTTTATGCAGAGGTAAATATTAAATATGGGTCATCATATATTTTGTGGGTTTGGTGGAACGCTTGATGTGATTGGAAGAGTTGCTCCTACAATATTGAGGCCTCAATTTGAGGTACAACCAGTGAGTTCTGTAAAAATGAAGTGGAGGTAACTCGAATAGAAGGAAAACGGAAATGATATCTAATTTACATGTCATCATTTTGTATTTTGCTTCTCTGGGATATGACTCAGGGCCATAGTTTATTCTGCTTTTTAGTGGTAGTTCTAAGATGTAAAAGTAAAACATTGACAGAAGGACTCGTGAATAGAGAATTTCATTGCCTCTCATTCTTAGTAACTTGTGTCAAATTGTTTTGAGCTTTTGGGAGCTTTCATTTTATTTGTTGGTGAAGCATCTGATATATTGATTACTTGCTATCTTTGACAGGCTTCCCTACATCGTTGGGGGGCAGAATTACAAGCTTCTTGTTTGTTTGCAAAACTTAATTCAGTGCTTGATTTCTGATTGGAGGCACTACTTGCTTACTTGTTTAGGAAGACATGTTGTCCAATCAACTGAGATTCATTGAGTCAAATTCCTGATGAGGTTGAATACTAGCGTATCATAGTATTTTACTTTTAAAATTGTTATATTTTTAAATTCATAGCTGGTAGAACGGTCACAAGTGATTCTTCGCTATTTGGTGAGAAGTAATTTTATCAATCATGACCTATTTTTAGAATACAAAAGGATGAAGACAATATTAGGTGCAGAGCAATGACAGCCAATTGTTATGCTTGGTTTTGGAATTTTTGATATGCTTGCCTGGGCTTTTGCCTAGGCAAGTAGCTAGGTTATGTGGATTGGGGCAGAGCCACTCAAAACTAATCATATCCATGCTTGTTGCGAATTCTTTATTAACTTTTTCATGCTGAATATGTGAATTTTCCTGGTTTTGCAAGAAATATGGTCTTAATAGACAAAGTCTCAGGACATTTTAAAGACTGACTGCCTAAAGCTTTAGAATGTGGTGAGGTTTTTTGGTGGATGCCTTCGGATTCTTCAGCTTTAGTTCTCAAGGATTTGCATGTTTTATGAATTCTAATTTTGTATGCAATTAAATTAATTTGGTATATTCAGTTGGCTTTTTCGGAACCATTTGGAATTTAGAAAAGAGTATAATTTCAGCTTAATGTGTAAAAGGATCGAGTCAATTGTATAAAAGATAGAAGAACTATCTAGTAGTTCTATCAATGATTTTCATGTGCTCATCTAAACTGATACATTCGGTTCAAATGCTATGTTTGATTACATTGCACTAGTGGTCTTCTTGTGCTTTTGATATATCTTTGCGGAAATTGGGACTTAAAGTGAAAGGTGAAGGAAAGATTATTTGCATTTATATAACTCTTGGAAGGATCTGTTCTGTTTGTTATTATTTCTTTGGAGGCATTTTAATTTTTCCTGCAAATGCTTAGGCAGTGAAGTGGGATTTGACAGTGTGATTTTTTTATGTAGTACCAGAATCCACGCATCATAGGATGTTGTCTTTGAGTTTTTTTTATTGTCAAGGTTGGCGGATTCTAAGTTCATTACACTCTGCTCTAAGTACAAGTAAGATTCTACTTGTGGAATTGATATTTTTCGCAGAATTTCTATCCGCATGCTGCAAGTGCTTTTAGAAATCTGTTCCATGGCTCTAGATGAGTTAAAAACTGCCAGTTCTGGTAGAGGTTGAAACGGAAGTATGGAAAGCCGTTTTCTACCTTTCATGATATCAAGGTATCAAGTTCCTGAATCAATTTGATTGTGATAATTGTTTACTGTGATGTTATATGCTCATTGTTCTCTAATTTGTTCCCATTTTCGTTTGCGATTTTTTTCTTCAAAGAGTTCAAGTGCCTCTACCATCCCCTACATATAACATGAAGTTTTAGTCGTTGTAGATAATGTGGATTATTTCATTGCAACTTTCTTCCAATTGACATATTTGAGTCTCTTTTGACTGGTCAACACGATTAGATCATTATTTAAAATAAATAAATAAATAAAAGGAAAAACATCAGCTTTTGACTGAGGATATGATAATGAAACCAAATGAATAGAGAGGGAGCCAGCACTGGCGGTGTGATTATGCTTTGATTAATCTTTGAATTTGAATCTGTCGGTAGTACTGAGTTGGGTCAAGTTGATTTTCTATAATGTTGGGTACTAATTGGAGAAGCTTTTCTGCATTACTAGGACACCTTTAAGCGATTAATATTAGTATCATATAGAAATTTTTTAAGGTATCTTAGTTGTATATTTTATAAGTATATTTATTCATTGTCTCTAATGAAAAACTACATTTTTTCACTGTTTCTTTTAGAATAGAAATCAAAAAAATATAAATATCATTTATAAAGTTTTTTGAATATCATATTTTTCTATCTGAGGTATAAAATTCAATAATGTGCATGCTTTAATCAATTTTATTTAAGTGTTCAAAAAATTATTACATAAATTGATTTTAGATAATCAAAAATTATGTATATTTGGGTATCTTTCATGATGTTAGATGCTAGAAGTTTACGGAAGTTATTAGCGGGTACTGATATTTTGATTTGTTTTAAATATTTATTCAAATTGAATTTATAATAGCAGTTTATAAAAAGTTAAATGGAAATAAATTATAAAATGTATTCAAACTAACTAAATCTATAAATGCAGATTGAGTGGTTTGTACGTATTTTTGGGCAATTTATATATGCTATAAATATAATTTGTATATATGAAAAAGAAAGTCAATTTTACATCTTTTTTTTTTTTTTTTGATTGAATGGTTTGTACGTATTTTTTGGGGCAATTTATATATGCTATAAATTATAATTTTGTATTATATGAAAAAAAGTCAATTTTACATTTCTTTTTTTTTTTTTTATCTTTTTGGCCCGACAATTAAAATTGGAATAAATATTTTATTTAAGTCATTAATCTTAATTAAATTTCATGTTTTAATTCCTCATTAAGTATAAATTAAGGCCAATTTTATTTATCAGAAATTCAAATATTGATATGTATTGTTAGTGGTCCCCACATTAATAATTCACGTGGGTGGTCATAACAATGATCAGTCTAAGTAATTATTTTTTTTTTTTTTTTTATCTTTTTGCTCCGACAATAAAATTGGAATAAATATATTTATTTAAGTCATTAATCTTATATAAAATTTCATGTTTTAATTCTTCATTAAGTAATAAATTAAGCAATTTATTTATCAAGAATTCAAATATTGATATGTATTGTTAGTGTCCCACATTAATAATTCACGTGGGTGTCATAAAATGATCAGTCTAAGTAATTATTATTATTATTATTATTTTCTCTTCATATTGTTGAACTAAGATGATTATGGGATAAGGCTAGCAAAAGAAATATGGCCTCTTATAATTTATTTAATTTCAATTTTAATTTTGATGAAGCACATGTCTTTTAATACAATAATACTAAGATTGACTTGTAATACCTGTAATCATCAACGTCTGGACAAGTGTGAAAAATTTGACTCACTAATAGATTTTTCTGTTTTTAAACAATTAATTTAAAAGTTCCTTTTGAATATTGCAGACGATGTTACTTTGTATGTCATTTTTCCATGATGGCATTCACGAGGTTTGGTAAAGTTCACTTTCAACACTAATTATAATATTCTATGTGTATATCATTCATAACAATTTTATGCAATTAAATTATTATAAATTATTTTTTTCTGAAAAAAAAATTAAAATTTCAATAATCAAATTCAATTAATACAAGTTGCTAAACATTAGTGGAGGATAGGACCTTCTGTTTAATTATTAAATATAGAACAAAATTGTTGTAATTGAAAATCACAATGAAATTCACTAATCTTATAACAATTTCTAACGGAAAAATAGAAAACAAGGCTTAAAAACACTCAATAAATTTTTAAAGTAACAGGCTAGACAAACCTCTACATGTTACTATACATTTTTATTTATAGCCCAATACTATATATAATAATTATTATTTATTTCGATTTTCGACTATGATACATTTTTTCAGGTGGGCCTGACCCGAAAGAGAATTGGACTTTTTATGGTCTCGTATCAGTTGGGCAGGCAACAATCTGCAATCTTATTTTTAAGCGGGCTTGGTTAGTGGGCTTAATACGTAGACTCATTATTTACTTCCCATGCTCTTTTTTAACAATTGCTTTTGAACTACCTTTTAACATTTTAATAAAGTCTAAAACTTATATCAACGGAGGAAACTTTTTATGAAACATTAAACGTTATAATATTTAGCTTTTAATGTTTGATGTTTAAATTTTAATTAATTTTTTTTAATAATTATATTCATTGTTTTTTTCTTCCGAATTCAGCTAATTAAATGACTAATGTTATTTTTTTCATTTTAAGTTAAACAACAACTATTTTTACTAAAAAAAACACTATATAAACAGTTATCAACTAAAAGCTAAAATAAACACTATTAAAATAACTAAACGGCTAATATTATCTAGTCGAATAGACCCCCCATGAGTTCTTGTTATTACTTTAGGGTTCATCGCTCTTGAGTAGCAATTAAGGACCAAGAACGTATTTCCCTCCAATAGAATAAATCCCATCCTATATTGTACTGTATTTTCGACCACAAGTTTCAGTGTGTAAGAATATGTCGTACTTGTAAGTTGTACTAGTAATTGGAGGACCTTGCTCACCACATCTTACTAATGCTTTTTCTTTTGCATTTTTCCTTTTTGGTGAAGGCAGCCACTACTAAGAAAGCATCTATCTCGCGAAACAAGATTCTCACTTCTTTCTTTTCTTAGGCCCATGCAAAGAAAGAACATGCCCGCACGTGCCTGCAGCTTCACGTGCAATGTAGGGTTTGATTTCTTCTTTCCTCCCTTAATTAGTAATTACATTCCGGTATATGTCTATTCATGCACGTGACCTTGCTTCTTCATATGGTACTTTCCGCGGGTTGTTTTTCCGGTTTGGGCTTCTCTTTAATTTGAAGTCCTTTTAGGCCTCCTAAGGGCCCAATTAACTACTATTCTCTAAAATTTTGTTCGTAAAACATATAACATTGATTAACATAATAATTAGAAATTTAGATTTATTTGATAAAAAATAATGAGTTGAGGCTTTAAAATCATGCATTGCTCTTTTTAATAAATTTTTGCAGTGAAAAAGGATATTAACTACTAATAAAATATTGATCGAAGTGGTAAGTGAAATCTACTGCTGTAAAAGTGAGCATGCAAGTTCGATTATTTGTGTTATACGGACATGAACGGATTGTTATAAAAAAAAAATGTATTAATTATATTCTTCAAGTATATTGTCGGGTTGAAAGAATCAGATTTGGA